CTGCTGAATTTATATCAGTCTGATCTACACTGAGGCAGAAAGATAACTTCAGGAAAGAAACAGATGGTATTGTTTTTTTCTCCCCGTTTTGCAGTGCTGCTTAAGTAATTAGAACATAAACACTAGTTTAGTTTAACAAAGAGTTGAGGCAGGGCATCTAAAAGTGAATTGTTAATATGTTCTCAGTAACTTTCTGGTGATACTAATTATTTTTTTTAGTCTGTAGATTCCAGTCTTGGGGGACTTTCCAGGTCTAGTACTGTGGCTAGTCTAGATACAGACTCCACGAAAAGTTCAGGTATGTAATCAGAGTTGTATGGAGCAGGATTAACTTTATATGTGTTCATAGACAAAAGCAGAAAATGGAAAAGGTTAAAATAGGTATTTTTAATAATTGTGAGTGAATCTGTCAGCCTGTTGACTAATGCATGCGTAGCTCTAGGCTTCTAAAGTATTATTAATGATGCGTCTAGGATTAAGTCACTGTTTTTGAAGTAAAGTGTCAGAGTAAGAAAAACTTAGTTGTGATACTAGTCTGTTACACAGCATAAATCTGGTGTAACTTTTGGAATCTATGTTTCCTGCTTTTATAAGTTTATATTTGCACTGAAATCATGGAAATAAGATTTGATTTTAGTTGTTCTTGCTCACCAGATCACAGTGCATCACTGTTTGGATCAAACAGTTAATTAAAAAAAAAAAAGAATATAAAAGTAGAACCAGCTTTTCTGTTTTCTGATTTAAGGTTAATTCCAAATTTAAGTTAGTATAAACAATGCCATATCATGGATTCATGTGAAACTGTTGCCTTTACCAAGGGCTGTTCTGAATCAACCCGGGACAGTTCATTAAAGAGAGGAGTTAATATATTGTGGTAAGGTTAAGTATTTGATGAAGGTCTGAAAAAATTACAGAATTTAATGTCAGCCCCATTGACACCAATTAGAATAGCATTATTGTTCTGGAGTTCTTCAGAATTGCTTTGTTCTATTCTGTTGCAGGACAAAGCAATAGTAATTCTGATACGTGTGCAGAATTCAGAGTTAAATATGTTGGTGCCATTGAAAAATTGAAGTATAATGAGAGCAAAAGTCTCGAAGGGCCATTGGACTTGATCAATTACATAGATGTAGCACAGGTAAGTGGGTACAAAAGACAATACCAACGGTGTCAGAACATCTTAAGCTTAGGTGTAATTCTTTCATATTATCATGTGATCTGACACCTTTGCAAATTTTAGACTTACTGGTATAAAGTAGCTTACTTTGAAGAACATTAAGCTATGAATTTCAAAAGCTGTTACACTTGATTCCACCCTTTCAAGTAACTGGAGAAGACGCACCCAAAAAGCCATTACGATGAAGCAGACTCAGAGCAGAGGCCCTTTTCATGAGTCACTGCTGAACAAGTATCCCAATGGAAATTTTTATATTGTCTTCAGCACTGTTAGGATTAGTGGCTGGGAAAGAATATCTCCTCCAGACTTCCCCGGTAGTGTAGAAGTTTTCCTGCTAAGGAAAATGTCAAATTTCTGCTTACAATCACTTACGAACCTGTGACCAAAGAACCTGAATAATACTTGGGTCATCCTTGCCAAACTGTGGTTGCTGGCACTTATTTTTGTACTAAAAGCCGAAACTGGTTGTTTTCATTAAGTAGCTGATTGTTTGTATCTTTAAGAGCACAGAATGTCTGTTTATCTTACAACAACTTGACATTTCAAGTATCTGAATACATGCTAAAACTATTTTTACAGCCAAATAACAATTGCTGCCAGTGTGGAACATAGATCACCCAGGGTCAGTGCAGCATGACAGGGCATGCATTATTTTTCAGCCCATCTGATGTGACCACAAGGCCAAACTCCCCCCTGAGATGATAAATTCCTTTCTGGAATCATGTAATATTTAGATTAGACTATTTCAGTTGGAAGGGACTTAGAATGATCATCTAGTCCAACTGCCTGACCACTTCAGGGCTGACCAAAAGTTAAAGCCTGTTATTAAGGGCATTGTCCAACTGCGTCTTAAACACTGACAGGCTTGGGGCATCAACCGCCTCTCTAGGAAGCCTGTTCCAGTGTTTGACCACCTTCTCGGTAAAAAAATGCTTCCTAATCTCCAGTCTGAACCATCCCTGAATGTATTTCACGCAAAGTTAAGGGATTGGATGAGTGCAAGAGTGGCAGGCAGACTCCACACAGCAAGACATGAGCAGGGTTAGTGATGTTGCTGATCCAGTAGACTGAAGTACAGATAAACACATTTTCTATTATGTATCTTCGTTGTTCAATGTTCTTCTGTCTGCACTAAAGGCTTTTGTTTGTTTCCTTCCAAAGCAAGATGGAAAGTTACCTTTTGTTCCAGGTGAAGAGGAGTTTATTATGGGAGTTTCCAAGTATGGCATTAAAGTTTCAACATCTGATCAGTATGTAAGTGATTCACAACAAACTGTCTTTTCAGTGAGAGCTGAAAGGTGCTTTCATTTATTTCTCCAATCAATAGACAATCTGTGTGACCAAAATGTCACTGCTGGCTTTGACCAAAAGTCAAACAAACAAACAGACAAGCTCTCACAGCAGCACTGCTTCATGTCATATCTGCTCAGGGCTCTCTGTATTTTCCTGGTTAGATTGGTTGGATTTATGACAAAAATCCATTCCTTTTGAGAAAGAGCACCAGACAAACAGCAAGCAAGCCTTTATGCTCTTTGGGCACATCTTCCTTTTTCTGTGGCTGTCCTGCCATTCTCTTACATGGAAAATTAGCTTGACTATGGTGGCCAAGACCCTAGGTTCCTCAGCCTGAGTTCGTAATGCAATTCCCTTGATGTTACTGTGGAGAGGAAAAAGCAAAGGATGTTTTTTTTTCAAGAATAACAGAGTTGTCTTCCTCTTTAAAGTTCCAGCCTTGCACTCCTAATCCAAGAGTATGAGTTCACTCCAGCATTAAAGCCTCATGATTCCACTTTATTGATCAAGCCTATTTTTTGTTTGCATCATTTCCTCCATGTGGTTTATTTTCCTTTAGTGCACTTCAAGTAGCTTTTTTGCTAAAAATAAAAATCCGGTCTCTTCCCCACGGCCCTCCTGTTGCCTTTGTATAGCTGCCATGTGGTTTCCTTCTGGTTGCCCTCAGAGCCCCAGATACCATAAATACTTGGCCTTATGGAGTCATGACCTATCAACAACCCAGCAATGCCTGTTCATAAAAGCCTCAAGTATGAGGGCGGTGAAGAGCATTGCTCAATAGCTGAATACTCTGAAGAGAAGCAAAAAGTTCCCTTTGGTCTCTTCAGAAAATAAAACACTTGCTTCTAATGCATGGGAGGAAGTGTAGTAGTTGTTACTCAAACTTTGAATTCTTTTGGGTTCCGTTTTTGCTGTCCTCCTAAATTCTTAATTCTCATTAAGAACATAGGTTACCCTATTATTTAAATTCCTTTTTACTTTGATAAAGATCAAATAGGTAATTTTAAGACTTTTATCCATCGTTCTTCTGGCTTCAGGCTAAAAGCATGCACAAGCTGATAAAGCCTTCTGTGATTAAGCTAGCTTGCACTGGCATTTTATAGCATTGCATTCTGTTTCCCAAGTTCTGGCTTTTTGCATCTTTGTCGCTGTTGACATTTAATTTGTCCTTTAGCGTGTTAGTCCACCTAACTCTTTTCATAGAGTTCCAAGAAGGAAGGGTTTTCTCTGCATTCATACAAATAATTCAGTCTTTTATGAATTTGTGGGAATTCTGGCGAGAGTTCTGTGATTTGTAGATACCTTGGCAGGTGAATGGGCAGCTATTTATTTCAGATGCCAAAGAGAATGGACCGTAGGATACAAAATTTTTCCTCATGTATTTCAGCCAACATTTGAGAAGTTACTCCATCAGTGACTGAAATACATACAGATATATAACTCCATTGTTTGTGGATGCAACCACTAGAAACCGAAGGCAAAGTATTTATAGAAGTCACGCTGAGGCTCTGGCCTTCTTCCCATTCTGTTTGTATGTATTTGTACATGATACACATGTATATATGTGTATGGCACAATTTGTCCATCTGCCATCTCGTTTTTCTTCCGAACTGCAGAATCCCCTCATAGCCAGATACTGGAAGGAAATGAATTTACAGGGGGACGGTCTACTTTAAAGAATTCTGTTCTCCCTCTAATAGTGACAATCAACATGCACCTTAGCACTGTAGTGAGTTCCAAGCCAAGTAACTCTAAATACAAGTTACAGAAAAAGTTACAGAAATCTTGGCACCTGTCATGCAGAGACTGGGGGCTGATGCAGTAAGTTCCACATTGGCTCCAGCTGCCTTCGGGATGGCGTGACATACACAGTTCATGATGGTATGAATAATTGTGAGTGATGTTTTTCAGCAACGTGATCTTAGGAGCTCTAGTGGAGGGCTCTCCCTCAAGGGTTTCATAGCAGGCATCAAGCTCACTGTTCATTTTTACAGCTTCTGTATCAAAGTGGATTTTCTTTAGACCCTTCAACTACTGATGGGGATGAGGTGTTTGATGTCACGAACATAGAAAAAGAGCTGTCTTGAAGTCGTAAGACCCTAGTTGTGGTATGACTAGAATCAACCAGATGAATATTACCAGTTGGCTAGGATGGCTTGAGAAGAAAGGCTTTGTGTGGGGTAGGTCTGCAGAGATCTCTTACTGGATGACATCAACTGATCCCTTTTTGGAATGGCTATGGTGAAACCCTGCAACTGCAGGGAATAGTAGAGGGCTCCTAGACTAGGTCTACTGCAAGAGTCAGGATGCATGCTGTGGCTCAGGCCACAAATGGCCTGGCTATGGCCACGTGGCTACCCTGCTCTACCTCAAAGCAACTAACCTTCTCCATACACTCTTCTGGGTACAGTTTCTTGTGTGTATGCTTCCCGGAACTGAGACAGGGGATTGTCTGGAAAAATACTGGAAAAGTAAAAAGTTGTTCTGAGTTGCCTCTGTGCCAGAGGCAGGTACAGTGTACCACTGATCCTGCTCACAGCAGGCAAGCAAGAATAGGTGGGAAACTGATGTGTGCTTTTGTAGTATGGCCAGGAGTGTAGTCCACATATTAATGCAATTCTAAAATAGAAGCAAAAATTAAAGCTAGAATTGTGTTAAACCACCGCTTATTTTTTCAACTCTTGATTAAACACTCAGTTAAAAGATTGTACGTTTACCAAGGAATACTTACTCAGAAATAAATCTGAAGTATTCTTTTATAAGAAAGAGAATCAAAACAGGTGGAAAACTGAAATAGCTGTTGCACTGTTCCAGAGTAACGTTTATTTGCCACATGGTTTCAGGATGTGTTACATAGGCATGCTCTCTATTTAATTGTACGGATGGTCTGCTATGATGATGGTCTGGGAGCAGGAAAAAGTTTACTGGCTTTGAAGACAACAGATGCAGCCTCTGAAGAATGCAGCCTCTGGGTATATCAGTGCAATAGTTTGGTAAGAGTTTATGTTTACAGCATTTAATTTAGGTATCAGTATTTTGATTGTAAAGAGAGATCCTAAAACCCAAGGCCCTTGTGAAGGCTCTTTGGCAGAAGAGTTAATTAATTAAAACCAGTTAAATCAATTAAAAAGAGTATAAATGTGCCCTGGCTGAGGAGGGAAGAAAAGCCCTGCTGACTGCATTTGATCAGCTTTGAGGAAAAATACCTACAGTCCTGAAAAACTGGCCTAAGAAAGCTCTTTCCAGTCTAAAGAGTGCTATCCCAACTGCTAAGGACAAGCCTCCATTTGTATTTTCAAAGCCAAAACCAAACCTCTTGAGATCGGACAGAGCAGAGAGGGATTCAGTAACAACTCTGGTAATAGACCATGCATTCATATCTATAAGCAAGGGAAGTGATCTCCTCTTAAGAGTAGGAGAATTCATGGTCAAGATATTATGGTATGACACAGCCCCACAGCAGCACTGGGGGAACACATGAACTGACTTTCTGAATGCTAGTGTCACGCTATGATGAAAGCTAACAACTCTGACTTGTTTCAAAAGAGCTCATTTAAAACAGCTTCCCACATGTCATTGCAGACCACAGAAATCAAATTAAATCTCACCTGTGCTACTCCATTTTGCATGTCTCTGCCAAAAGAATGATAAAAGTCCCATCCTGCTTTAAATGAGTTTTGAGACGTTTAGAAGTTCTTCAGAAAGTGTTAATGTGCGTGTTTGGATTTTTTTAGGAACAAGCACAAGCTATTTGCAAAGTGTTATCTACAGCCTTTGATTCAGTTTTAATGTCGGAGAAGTCCTGATTTTCTTCAGCAGCACACGACTGTGTAGTACAAGAGGCCTTTGTGTGAGGAGGAAACGGGGCTCCTTTGTGATACCACAGGCTGGCTATAGCTACACACAAACCTAGAAAAGACTTGCTGTGCAAAGAAGAGCCATGCAACCTTGCACATGGTACTTTGTCATTGCCTTAACGTGACTTGAAGAAATTATTCCATCAGTTTCCAGGACAGTACAGAATTTTATATTTAACATGACTTTTTTTTCCCTAAATCAGGTTTTGTATATTAATGTCAGTATTGTAGAAGTGTAAAATAAAAGTGACACTTCTATCTCTTTGTCTGAAAAAGAATTTGTTAATACAGACTTCAGTTCTGCTTAACCTAGATATTAGAACAAAACACCAAGAGCAAAGTGATAACAGGTAGTCATTTGGTGCTTTACACCTCTAATTTAATCTTAGGTGAGCTGTCTACACAGTTTCTACGTTGCGCTAAAAATCCATAATATGTACATTTTTTTTTTGCTCAAGTGCTACTTGTTTGTATTTCTCATTTTACACATTGAAACGAACGATGTTGCCTAAGCAATGCAGAGTAACAGAAGTGGCCAAAGTGATTTTAAAAGTAGTTTTATTTTTCCAGACATTTGACTGGTTAACAAGAGTAAAATTTATTAATCATGCTCTAATTATAAATCACTGCATCCAGGACATTGAAAATAAGAGTTGATTTTAGGTTATACAATATATACAGTTGCTCTGCAACTAAACAAAATAAAAACAACTGAATTGAATATTATACATCTCATAGCATTCTAAGCTGCATTTTAAGTGTCACTTGCTCCTTTTTAAACAGTTAACACAGCAACCTAATAGTCTGTCTATTAACAGTTTTTTGAGTTATTATTTTTAATCACCTTTGAAAAGTTGTATGAAATATGCCAAAATTTTTGACTTTAAATTCTTAATTTTATATTATAAATAGGTATCTACAGGCTCTGGAATTTCTTCCTCTGCCAGAGGAGCAAACTTTGAGAAACATGGAAAATCTAGGGATAAATTTTGCTTAGCTGCTTTTTATTGGTCCTCAAGATTTTATCTGTCTGCACTGTTAGTGCTATTAAGTTGTATTCTACAAGTTTCGTAGTTTCCAAGTGACCAGTGAACAAGGTGGTGACATTTTGAAGTGTATTCCTCTTCTAGCAGAACTCAAGGAAAATTTGCATCATTGTTAACTTTATGAGTTGTTACATACACTATAAGATTCTGTGTTAAAAATACTGTACATTAGGAGATCTGTGCAAAATAATATGCCCATTTACTCTCTAGACTCTATCAGGGATAGAAACATACAAAATAGTGTTGCAAACTGAACGTATCAGTAGGTGGATAAAACTGTAGTGCTAAACTATTACTCTACCGTTTTACTGGGAACTACATACGGACTAATTTGCTTCAACTTGCAACAAAAATATCTTGAAACATTCCAGTTTGTTCCCCTTTTATACTGCAGCAACAGCATCTGGAAAATGAAATTTAGGTGTATACTTGGCTGTACCCACACATTCGAGAGGCTACCAACCAACTGTACCATTTAGGAAAGGCGATACAAGGCAAGATCAGTGTTGCTCTTCCAGCACTAATGCAATGTGATTTTTTTTTTCTCAAATAGGCATATATGGTGGTGGCCTATTTTCCATTCCGTCCCCAATTTAAATACCGTTTGTCAGAAATTGAAAGTTCTCTTGATAAATCTAGAGATACAATATTCACAAAACATGATCAAAGCCAATGTGACCTAGACATAGTTTTTTCTTATCCTATGCCATTAGTTGTTTCCTGTAGCATAAGCAAAACCTGGTACGATTTCACAATATACGAACATCAAAATGACGTCAGATTAGTGTTGGTGTTTTGTTTTCCATCAACCAACTGGGAACTATCCATGGCCCTAGCCTTTGTTCACAAATTAGTAAAACAAATTTAACAACAGTGTAGCTACCATATATGTGGGTATATTATATAAATACAGAGTGAGTCAGCAAACTATCATTGTTTGCAAGGTAGTGGCACACGAACTTTTATAAATCAGAACATAACGTAGTGTACTTGTGAGGTGTCAGATACCTTATTGACCAACGATAATTACCTAAGCGTTCCACCAAGTATGTTCTGTCTGTGAACACACTGCTGCATGACTTAAGAAAATTCAAGAATTTAAAAACAAAGTCTAAACACTATAATGAGACAAGTGTAAGAAATGCTCTGCAATCCATCATCTTAGTTAAGTACATTTCAGGAAGTGCAGTTTTCATATCCTTGAGTTAACGTAGTAACTCATTAATATTGCCATAGTTTAGTTAACCAGCAGTAGTCACATTACATGACCAAAATGGATGTAACATACATAAAGAACATTCAAAAAACAGGTTCTACACACGTGCAGCATAGAAAAATGAAACAGTCTCAAGCTCACAAAATTAGAACTAGAAAGTTCAACGACTAACACAGATTTCAGAAACTTTAAGCAAATATCTACATCCATTCTGAAAGAAAGAGGTTTCTCCTGTGGTAAACTGAAATACTTTTTCACTTTTACCTGGCCAAAGACACCCGATGAAAATAATATCATCTGTAATTGTTGACTTCCTGGATGGCAGCCAGTATAGCAAGATGCTGGATGAGTCTAATTTAGAACTATGCAGCAGCTTGCATGTTTTGGTTCCAACACTTCAAGTGGCATCGAGAATTGGATACATTCACTGCCCTGTTAGATGCACACAATTTCTTTGATGGGGAAGCAACAGTGAACTGTGGTATTGTCATGTTACAAAAGGAAGAATAAAATTACAGTGAATTGAATGAAAAGAACATTCATAATGTTGTGATGTTCACACTCTCATATGGATTTTGATTGTTAAAGCTTTTCAGTTCACCTTGAAAAATACAGGAAGAGTTTTTTGTGTTTTTTTTTTAAAGTGTAAACTGCTTATGAGAAATTTTCACATAGAAAAAAGTTTTTAAAGTCACAAAATCAGAATGATGGCAATAAAAAAGTAAGCTACAGTACCTAGGATTTGGGCAGTGCTCTGGCAAGGTGTCTGCAGATAGGTAGATGAAATGAAATAGAGCAAAACTTATTTCTGTGACCGCTGGAAATGAGAAATATCTCCACTTATCAGTAGCAATTTAGTCAACAATAAAGTGCACAAATGATACAGGGAAAGCTCCTTTCCGACTGGGATCTCCATCAATATGACCAATCTGAAAGAGTACAGATATTTTTCAAGTTAATCTCAAAAAGGCATTTCAGTATCAGCAAAATGAATACCAGTGACCTTCCTGCCTTGTAGTACAACAAGCCTCTCCCTACATCTTTTCTGCAGCAGTGTTCTTTTTCTTTTGCGAACAGGAAACATTATCAGAAAATTCAGTCTGACAAGATGCCCTTCTTATTCAGCTATAAACATTTTTTTGCACATTCTCTTTTATCCAGTTCTTTGAAAGTAACACCTCTTAATGCAGTACCACTGCTACATCATTTCAGCACATTCTGCAATGCCTGGCAGCCCATATTCTGCCTCTGTTAAGTTGCCTCTGCTTAACAATCACTGAAAGATAAAAGGATGGATCAAGCTTCAACAGTTTTGGGTCTTACATGAATCTGTTTGTGTTTATACAGTGTTATTGTCAATTTAGATGCAATCTGAAGTTCTATTCTTCGCTAGCTAACAGAGTAAGGCAAGAGTTTTCATGCATCCCAAGACTTTGCTTTGGCTGATGAGGCTCTGGAGTGTAAATAGTTAAGATGGTTTCCCAGCTCATAGAACAGACCATTTCTCAATCTCAGTCAGCTGAAGAATTAGGACAATACAAGGCTGTCTTCTGAGGCCCACTACACAGCATCTTCAAGGAAGATGTAATAGTAGCAGACTCTTAAACTGCTGACACTCTCCAAGAATTTCCTGAATCAAACAGACCGTGTCCCCTGTATATTGTGAACCCTCCTAATCAGATTTTTTTTTTTTAAATTTGAATGAGAAAAGCCAAAAAACTTACCTGAAGTTTTATTTTTGAACAAAATAAATTTCTAAATCAGGTTTCCATGAGGTGAAATTTTTCCTGTTACTTGGAAACCCAGCAGGTTCTGAAGTCAATGTCAACCTCTAGATTTCATTTATTTCTTTCAAAGTATGTTGATGGAAAATACCAACTACTCACCCACCACTCCTGATCTTCTTCACCATCGACTACAATAATATCTCCCTCTGAAAAAGTCAGCTCATCGGGGTTATCTGCTACACAGTTGTAAATAGCTTTTACTCTCTTGGGCTTAGTTTTTGACTGAAATATAAAAATAAGCAAATGTTAATAATATAGCTTGTAAGAGCCAGAATAGACTTGGAGTTCATCTAAAGAAAGCTTCAGAACTGCTTCCAACTGTTATTTTTCATAAGTTAGAGTTCAGTTACATCTTTTATGCTGTGTGCTTATGCTCCAGGCTGAATTTGGCAGCATCCAAAGGCTTTCAGAACCAATGTGCCACCAACATGGGCCAGGCTTCCCTGAGCAGTCTTCCATTTTGGCTCATCCAAGCCTGTCTTCAGAGCTCTGTATCACTGCAGGAAATACGATTTATTCAGAAGATGAGGTAATCAAGATCAAGTGCTACGCAGCAAGTGTAACAGCAGCATTGTCAAAAAGAGGCCTGAGCCACCTGCCAATACACCCCTTTTTAATTTGCTAAACCCATTTCAGCAGCGTACAAACCCTCTGAGATGTCCTCTGCCTCTGTAGTGCTTTGAGAACTGCAAGCCACAGGGGTGCTTCAGTCAACACTTCCAACAGGACAGTTTAGGAGTTGCAATATTCCAATATCACAGTGGCACTCCAATCCTAGTTGTGTTCTATTTGAAGTGATGCAGAAATTGTTCTGCTTTGGTATCACAGTATCCACCATCCTAATCTCACGCCTCTCTCTGTGCAACCTGGCCTGCTGCTGCATTTGTTTTCAGCCTCCTCATTCTCTGTTGCAGACCAACACTAATGCTACATAATGTTTCCATGCAAGGAGTGAAGAGGCACAGGACCCTGGAGGCAGAGTATACGCTTTCCACCATTAATTCATCCTTTTCCTCAGTTTGCCCAACTGAGGGGGCAAGCAAAAAATCTCTCCTTTCTACGTTAAGGTGCCAGAGCCAAGCTTAAAGCGCCATTTAGGGCAAGAGATGCCTGTTAATGCAGTGAGTGTTTGGGACAGAGGCTCCAGATGGGGCAAGGAAAAGAGTATCTTATTACTATCCTGCACTCCCCCGGGGACTGGTCCAAATCTCTAGTTAGGTAGGCCATGGAGCAGGAAGCTTCTAGGGGGAGAAGAGATTCAATTCACAAGTCTACTTCCCTCCACCAGCAAAATGCTCTGCTGTGGACAGTACTGCCTGACAGCATCTTAACGTGCCATTTTGTCAAGAGCCGAGCGCCATGCAGCAAAAGGGGGATGTGGCTGTGGAAGGAGGGAGTAGCACAATCATTATGCTCATCTCTAAGCATCCATTTGCATTTTAGTACAAAAACACCTGACCTGCCCAGACCAGGCATACCCTTAGGCTCTGTCTCTGGGGCACACCTCTGTGAGTTGCACTGCATCATAGCAATTTTGCCAGATGTGCCATCTCAGTCAAGTTACAGTTTAAACTACAACCACCTTTTAGGTCAAGAGGGAAAAGCTTCACATCAATACAACAGTGATATAATTACTAACTTCAAAGTGCAGTAGTTACAGGTATTTCTTGTTCTTTAGAAGGCAAGGAAATTAAAATAGATCCCATTCCCAGAAGACTAAAATCTTCCAAGGAAGGTTTCCCACGTATCTATAATATGGTTTCAAAAATCTAAATTATACATTCAAAAATTGAAAAAATGCATCAGGAATTTCCATCTAAAAAATAGGCTGTTGGGCAAATGCACTCTACAGGATATAAGCCACTGGCTACATGTGCACCTACAATTAGTCCTCTTTTTTCTTTACTCATGGAGCACTTCTGCAATCACTTCCTAAATCTGGGCTGGCCTTTGGATTCTCTGGCACGGTAGAGACTTAGCAAACAAGGCTGGAGTATAAGGCTAAATGGAGTGATTTAGCCAAAGCTCTTTAGCTAGACTGATACAGCTAAAGCTCTTTAGCTGAGCGACCCTTGACTAAATCTCAGCTAAGATGCTATAGCTAGATTGATTTAGCTAAAGCACCTTAAATAGCACACACTCCCTGAGCCAGGTTTCCCTTACTTCCCTGTCCTATGACAGAAGAAAATCATTCAGCTGATTTTCTGTCTCACAAAATTCACCCTACTGAAGCACTAGAGACATGTGGAGAGTCAGATTTGTTCTTCATATTATGTGCAATTAACATTAAACAGTGGAGACACTGACTGTTCCTAGAAACTGGCCAGGATAGCCCTTTCACTCATAACTAAAGCAATTTGTCCTATAAAACAAAAAAGGAGAGAACAAGATAGAGAAGCTACCACAACTTTAATTTATACAGAAAGCCAGGTAAGGAGTTGTTTCAGAACCAACAGATGTGTTGAAAGGATGTGGCCAGCGCTCACACCTGAATCCCAGGACACACAACAGAGACTGTGATCAGGGTCCAACAGCTTCACAAAATATCATAGAATCATAGAATCTTTGGGTTGGAAGCGACCTTTAAAAGTCATCTAGTCCAACCCCCCCTGCAATAAGCAGGGACATCTTCAACAAGATCAGGTTGCTCAGAGCCCCATCCAACCTGACCTGGGATGTTTCCAGGGATGGGGCATCTGCCACCTCTCTGGGCAACCTGGGCCAGTGTTTCACCATCCTCATGGTAAAAAAAGTCTTCCTTCGATCTAGTTGAAATCTGCCCTCTTTTAGTTTAAAACCATTACCCCTTGTCCTATTGCAACAGGCCCTGCTAAAAAGTGTGTCCCCATCTATCCAACGTTAGATGGGTGTGACCATCCAATTCCTCATCTACCAAACAGTCCACCCACCAAGTCCATCTCTCTCCAAATTAGAGACAATGTTGTGGGGGACCATGTCAAAGGCCTTACAGAAGTCCAGATAGACAACATCAGTAGCTCTTCCCTTGTCCACTGATATGCTCACTCTATCACAGAAGGCCACTAGGTCGGTCAGGCTGGACTTGCCCTTGGTAAAGCCATGCTGGCTGTCTTGAATCACCTCCCTGTCCTCCATGTGCCTTAGCATAGCCTCCAGGAGTATCTGCTCCAGGATCTTCCCAGGCACAGAGGTGAGGCTGACGGATTGGTAGTTCCCAGGGTCCTCCTTGCTACCTTTTTTAAAATTATGGCAATTCTCTCAGTGCATGTAAGCAAAAGGAATAGATGGTCTATTTTACACCAATCAGAACATTTAATTTTATTATGGCCTAAAACATGAAAGTTATTTTGATGCAAGACAGACTTGCATCCAGTAACTTGGTTGAACAAGAGTGGGAGAGGCAAGAAAACAGAAGATTTTATACTCCCTAATAATGCAAGATGAACTCCAGATGTCTCTGTGGCTTTTCAGCATTATCAGATGAGAAACAGCTAACAGGAGTTCTAAGAGTTCAAGTCAAATGTGCAAGGCTATGCACACAAACACACTGAAGTCTCTCCTGGAGAGTTACTATTTCAGTAGACATGGTTAAGGAAAAATGGATGAAGGGAGAGAGACAGAGGACTGAAGAAGGTGCATCTTTTCATTACAGCCCATTAAAAAGACAATTGCAGAGCCTGGAACAGCATGTTTTCTACCTCTCAGTTTTACTTACCTACTGAACTACACTCCCACACAGAATGTAAAGCATGAAACAACCCAGACCTCGTCACGTACAGCATCTCAGAAAGTATGGACTCTATATTGTTACTTGGATACTGTAGAGAAATACTGTCATGATCAGGCACATGGATGTTTTAAGTCTATCACACAAGAGAGCAACATAGAATTGGAGCAAGGACCAAAGACCTATGTGAACTACGCATAACGTAATGGTCAGCTGACATCTGGAAATACATTCCTTTACGTACACCAGTATAAGAATACAGGTATTGACACTAATAAGTGTGTTACCATTCATGGTCCTAGATTATAAATAATAAAGAAGAGTATAAAAAGGCCACACAATCGGATCAAGAGTCTATCTAAAACCAGTATCTCTTTTCTAACGGTCACGGTAAGGCTGGGGGAGGGTGTAGAAGAGTAATACACAATACTTCCAGCATGACACTTAGAGCCTTCCCCTCCACCTTTCAACCACCTCTGGTATACTTACCAAGAGATTTCTCTCCCATCACTCACTGAATGCATGACAAAGAGATGCAAAGAGAACCAACTGCACAAAGAATCAGTTTCTTTTGTTGTGAGCTTGACTCTTACTAGTTTTGTCTGAAGCCGTTTGGCCTACTTATGTGAACAACTATGAGTATATTTACTTCCGTTATAAAATTAAGCACAAAAGCTCCCTTATTACTTACTTCACTGAAGTTTAAGAATGAAGTTACGTATCATTTACAAGTGACTCACAAAACTCACCCACAAGTGACTCACTTTTCAAGCTTGCCTACCTACAATAAGTCAAACCATATATTCTGTGGATTGTGTCGGTCACATTTGGACACAAGCAAAGAATCCATGCTTTTCTTTGGTTTCTTTTTTGGTTTTGTTGGTGGTTTATTTTGGTTTTGGGTTTTTTTTTTAAATTTAAAATCACATACTGTCATATAGGAAATGCAAGAAAAGCAAAGTTTTCATAAACATTTAGTACCAGTCTTGCACATATTTAACACAGGATACAGGCTTTGTATTTTTCATGATTCTCACATTTTCTCTGTAACAGGATACACTATTATGTCAACAGCATGTTTGATAGAGTGTGGAAGATTTAATAAAACCAAAACCCAGACTGTCAACTTACTATTTGTGATTTCCTTGGCATTGGTGCTGGTGGCTGGATTTGTGCCAAAGTGTTTGTTGTAGAACCAGTTTGTGTTACTGGCATTTCACATACAGAAGACGACTCTCCTGCTGGTAAGGTAAGTAAAACAAGTAAATTTTTGGCATGCTTTAAAAAAAAAAAAAAAAAAAAGTGATGATACAAATGGAAGCCAAATTGATTATTCTTTAAAGGACAGAAATAATTTTATATCCCATTAGTATCTCATTTTTAATGGTTCTTTCTAAATAACTGAACAGAATTTTTCTTTTCCTTACCAAAAAGGCCTCTTTTCCCAAAGACAATTACCTAAGACCTTTAATACTGCAGATATGCTAAAAGAGAAAAAACCCTGTAAAATAGATGAGAGCAGAACCAAATATCCCGTTTCCCCATTTGTTAACTACAGACTGTGTGCTTTTAGAACCTTTCTTTCCTAGTAAAGACCATCTTGATAGATGCTACATCCTTCACAGGAGACTCCTAACACAGACAGTAGATAGTCATTAGCAAATTCCTCTTGGGTATGTCAAGGGGAAATAAAAAAGAATCACAGTAAGAACCAATGATCATAATATATATAGTGGAAGCGGAAACAGGGTAGGAGAAATTCCACTACCACCACCACAGAATCCACACAAACTTTACTTCGGACATTTTATTGAGATGACATTATTGTGATGTCCCAAGTAGTAGATACTTTGAGCAATGAAAAAAGCAGAATGAATAATGAGCTGAGTAATGAGTTCCGTTTATTATCATGAAAAGAGAAATACCAATTTGCAATTTAATTAAAAGTGACACCACATGAGCTTTAGTTTCGAACTAGAAACACAGTTTTCCTATTCTGAAATGCGTATCTGTTACCTTGTTTATGACACACGCAAACAAGAGAATAAACTAACTAAAGTTTTCATAATGCAACCTTTAAGCGGGGTTTAGGTGAGGTTAGGGAAGCAGAAGTCCAACTGGAACTGAATCTGGCAAGGGATGTCAAAGACACAAGAAGGGCTTCTGTAAATACATAGGTAACAAAAGGAAAATTAGGGAAACCCAATAGTGCCCATTGCTCAACGAGATGAGGATCTGGTTACACAGGACATGGAGAAGGCTGAGGTACTGAAAGCCGCCTTGCTTTACTAGCAAGACCAGTCTTCAGGAGTCCTAGGTCCCAGAGACCAGGGGAAAATCTACAAGGAAGTGCCAAGTCCTGCACCTGGGGACGAACAAGCCCATGCACCAATATACGCTGGTAGCCATCCAGCTGGAAAGCAGGACCAGAGTCAATGGGCACAAACTGAAACACAGGAGATGCCATCTGAACATCACGAAACACTTTGTTACTGTGAGGGTGACTAAGCACTGGTACAGGTTGCCCAGTAAGGCTATGGAGTCTTCATCCTTGGAGATGCTCAAAAGCCATCTAGACATCGTCTTGGGCAACTGGCTCTGGGTGGCCCTGCTTGAGGAGGAGGTTGGGCCAGATAACCTCCAGGACGTCCCTCACAACTTCAACCATTCTGTGCTTCTGTTTCTAATTACATTGGCCCCATTGTTTACATTAATTGGCCCATAACTCTGTTCATGCTGAAGAGCTTGAGGCATCTGGGGCTACACAATCAAGAAGAGAAACAACAAGAATACTGGTACTGACTGTATTTAAATGTGTAAGGTAAATGAAAAAAAAAAAAACACCCCCCACTCTCCCGTAGGCTGTTATAATGATAGCTTAATTAGAATAAAATAAATCTCTAAACCACACTTACTAGTTTGTTGTAGAGACCCAAGTCCTCTGGGCTGCCCTTTGTTAGTTACACCAGATGACTTCTCAGTCCTGTGTGGAAAGTTAGAAATTCATCCATTTAAGAAACAAACAAGAACTTGAACCACAGCAATACAAAATTCTTGTCATGTCTTCAGTATATTCCAGTGACAGCTGTTTTGCTTTTAAAAATACTACTTTGCTTCCATATTTTTGATTACACCAATCACAAGTTGTACTTAATTTAAAAATGTAAGGCAGAAGAATAATATAGGCTCAATTACTGCAATTTGTGTAGAGCAGATTTTCTTCTCCTACGTTCTGAAGTTCCTTTCACTGCTATTTTAATACTCTTTGTTAAAATTATGTATCCGTATCAGTCTCTACATCATAGCAAGCTTCAGCAAGTTACTTCTCCCTTGTACTTAGTATGGTATGTGCAATTGAAGGACTAGAAATGGAGCATTGTTTACCTCTCTCGTTCACAAAGGATCTACCATGTGTATTATTTATCTCATATATACACATACATATCCCTGTATCTTATAACTACCTACATTTGTATAGGCTGTACTCTGCCAAATTTTCAATGTCAGAGAATCCAAAAACTTCCCAGACAAGTTACTATTACATTTCCCTAGGATTACTTTTGGAAAGCTCTTCCTAGTGTCTAACTAAATTATTCCTGCCACAACTTAAGTAAAACTCTTCTTTTTTAGAGAAGTTTTTTTACGTCATGAGATGTAAAAAAGAATGGCACAATCCAACACTTTGTGCATATTTGAAGACATGTATCTATGCTACAATTTCTTTTTTAACTTTTTTAACTTTTCTCACAGGTCATATTTTCTAGATTTTTCATTACCTTATTGATGTCTCCTGGTTTCTACCTCCCTATTTTGTGTATTTATTTTACTGCAATACCCAAAACTGAACACACTTAGTCCAGCTGAGGCATTATGGATATTGAGTCAATTGGAAGGATTAATTCCTGTAGTTTCCAGGCTATAATGAAACCATACTATTGCCCTGAGTCTTCCACAATAGCATGAATTGTCTGACTTACTTTTATTTATGATTCACTACGTCCTTGCAGATCCTTCTCTTAAGGACTTTTGCTTAACCATACTCTGCTGTTCTCCATCCTTCGTTTTTGTAGTTGATCTTAAGCACTAAGTGTTGCTTACTGAATGATACCCCTCTTCTCCCTTGACTATTACTCCAGTTTCTCAAGGCCGCTTTGGATATAATTCTGTTTTCCAGTACACTTGTCCTTCCTAACTTTGTTTCCTGCAAATTTAAAAATGTTATTTTCTGTTCCATGTCTCTCTACTCCTGCTATGAATGAAAATGTTGAATGGAACTGAACCTACGCAAAGCATGTGAACAATAAATGGCACAATCAGACATAACATCCCATTATCTCTTCTTTGTTATTAGATGAGGATTAGAAATGGATTATTCTTTGTGGCTTCTTATTTCCATCACGGCTAAGCATTCTGTAGCTATTCTGTAAGCCATACAATATTAAATTACTAGGCTGTCTTGTTTTTACTGTAGGAATCCTTATAATCTGCTTCCTTAGTGTCTGCCTTCTGTTCATTCACATACTCTAGAAAACATCATTGGCAAAAGTATGCATGCTTTATAGATGACTTGCATGTTATAAGTCATGTTTCAGTCAAATTACTAATAATTATGAGGTATATTAAATACTAAAATGACATCAGTTACCCAGGAATAGGCTTTCTTTGAGAGATTCTACTAGGAGGTTGTGGGGGCAGTGGTGGTGGGGTTGGCTTAGTTTGTGGAGGAGCTGGTTGTTGTTTAGATTGCTGGTTCAAAGCTTCTATAATGCTGGCTGTCTTTGCCACTGGAGGCGGTGGTGCTGGAGAAAGCACATCTATAGAAGAAAGTTAGACAGTGAAATGGAATTAAATTTATATTTACCGGTTTGTTTCCCGGGTTCTCATCCACAGGTTTTCCTGTTACAGGAGTTACCTCCATTCAAGAAAAATGCTTTACTACATGTAATCAACAACTTAAACAGAAAGCAATCCTTCCACTGGAAGGAGGACTTGTTTGGAAAAAGGTTTACATTTGTTTCACCTAGTCAAGGTCAGAGAGCTCACAAGTCTTCAGTTCATTAAAGCATTAAAGTACAAGCAAAGAAAATTCTTAGAGAAGTCAGTCATATTCTTGAAATAGTAGATCAGAATGTATTTAATAAAATGCTAATCTTGTTTGCTCTATCAAGGCCTTCAGTTTGTGTTTTATGGAAAAGAACTGAGTGAATGGTATCTGAGAAATTTTATTTAGAGGAACGTCTTTTCTTAAAATCCTGTTATGATTAACTTGTAACTAACTTCACATTAGGTTTAGCAATTAATTAAAATTTCTGTTGAATTCCTGAAACCACCACAACAGCAGTTGGCAATGCACTAAAACATCTTTTTGCATTCCTATGGTCTGCAAGAATCACGCACAAAGTGGAGACATAGCCCGGGCCTACATGTAACACTCATCTTTACAGCTAGTGAGAAATGCAGCATTGAAAACGATATTATAAAAGTGAAGAGCTCTTTAGCTCTAGTAATAGATAGTATTTCCTGTTGACCCTGCACTACACCATACAGTCCTCACTGCACCATCAGAGAAGACAGTTCATACAAAGTTACTGGATGGGAACAATAGGCCAAAGCTACAGTCATCAAAAGAGGAAGTATGAGTTGTGGAAATGGAAAAATAAGCCAACTATGATTAGATACAGCAGAAGGGAAAACAGGGGAAAGTGGAAACATACTTGTAGATGTTACACGCAATGGCGGCACAGGGGGATGAATAGCTGGTGGATCTGATGAAGACCTCTGCCTGCTTATACTTTCCACTCCTAAAGAATTTGTCTTCCATATTGCATTAGATGAAGAAATTGTCTGAATACCACTGCCAAGAACTGAAGGCTGAACTAAAAAGAGAGGAAAATACTGTATTATTATTATTGTTTACGCTAAGCACAAAGTGTCAATACTCACACCTGTGCTTTTAAAAATGGTGCAGCTAGACCACTATATTCAGCAATAGGAACCACTGCCATCCTGCTGGAATGCCAGAGCAGAAATCAGAGTCTGGTGCAAAAAAATTACATAGAAGTTTCTCGGTGAAGTCTTACTAGCACTTTAGCTAACTAAAATTTGTCTCCAGTCATTACTTTAAAATATGTCAACACTTGAAAAAGCAGAAATTTTTCAACAAAAGACAGAAGGCAAGTCTTGCTACCTTCTTTAATCTCTGACTGATAGCACTAATCTTCTCGAGTACTGCAAGAAAAGGACCTTACTCTCGCATGAGCATTAGCAGACATTGCTGACTCAAAGTGAAACATCTGTTTTGACTTAGAATTGACATAAAACTGTAATTCTGAATTTCACTCAAGCAAGAAGTTATAATAACAAGTCATAAAACAGTTACAAAGTATGACTTCTTCGGGGCCTCCTAAATGATTCCATTCTTAGGCTGAAGAGCTGCCTCCCCATTTCATAAAAACACACTACACGTTTTCTTCATAAAGCCAATATTTTGCATATATCATGCCACTTCCCCCTAGGCAGCATATGAGCATCATATTAGGAAAAGATGAAACAGAGTAAGGTATGAATAAATATTAGGTTGCAGGGAAAAGCATAAAAGGCTCAGAAGACTTGGAGAACAGCCTAAAGCTAAGAGGATAAAGGAGTAATAATATACCATAAGCATAACATCAACAACATCAGTAATCAACAAGAAGCTAAGATCGATGAAACTATTATAGCTTTTAACTAAGAATATAAAATAATAGGCTAATACATTGCTAGAGTAAAGAATATGAGCTAATAATCTAAGCCAGGCAGCATGCTTTCTTGACCTGAGTTGTACCACACCAGTGCCAAGAAGTCTGGGGTTGGGAATAAAATTAAAATGACACTGTGTCATTTTATCAAGGGCAAACAGTGGGTAAAATAGTATGGTTGTCCATAATTAAAATAATATCAAAGGGTAAAATAGTCTTTTTTGAACTATCCAATTGTATTACTAATTTAGACCTAGAATCTAACAGTTAAACAGACTATGCAAGCTCCTTGGGTGAATTTTCCTGTTTAGTGGGGGATACATTCTTTTCCATCAAGTAAAAAAGGTGTCTAGATATTAAGCTTAGACTTCATGCAAAAATGTTAGATGAAAGGAATGCCACCTTGGTTAAGTTTTATATGCTGCTAAACTTCCCCCAGTCTCATGCTACCCATTTTAAGTAATCCGATACCATGCTGTTCTATCATGCTCAGTTTTTCTGCTGTCAAAATAACCTAATTTAATCCAGCTTTCATGCTGCAGCCATTCCTGTGAGACCAATAACTGACTTTTCATATTACACAGATGTTCAATTTGCCATCTCAGATGCAATCACTGGTGTATGGAGTCCTGCATTCTGACCTTTGCACAGTGCTCCCAAAAGCAGAAGCCACTCACGTATGCTGAGAACATTCCCTGCTCATATCTCCTCCTATGGACTCCGAATTACAGCACCATAGAATCATGTGTTTACACAGTCATTTTTCTTGAATTGAACTTTACATAAATTTAGCATCCATGAAAGTTGCTGGATTAATAAAGGTATTAAAACAACGAAACACACCAAACATGTACTGTACAAAGAGGACCTATACAGATTTCTCTACGCTTCTTTAGTATGATCCAAACAGATTATATCTGAAGGTAAGAATAAAGTTCACAGCATCAGCTTTAATGGTACGTTTTGCAAGCACACAACCCTTCTGAACCAGGATGAGACATACATTTTACATAGTTCTGCTGATCAGGGTATAACCAGTAATTGGCAGTTACATTTTCAGTCAGCTACCAGTTCTCTAAAATCACCCAGTTCTCCATATCATGACACTTAAACTTTTATTTCAACAACCTTGAAGCATATACTTCATAAAAGAAGACTTTGCAAGGTTAAAATCTCTCATGTTCTGCATATACTCTCCATTCTCCCAGGCCTTAAACAATCTTCCCACTGAAATTGTATGTTTAAATTGAACTCTGACAATGACATCTTCAAGAAACAGAAATATGAAAAGATGGAATATTAAAAAAAAAAAAAAAATTGCTGAACTGACAGCAGCCCTCCTTTTAATACAGTGTTTAACTCTATTGAGGTTACCTAGGCATTTTTTTTCCCCTCCAAACACTATTGTGTACTTTCTTGCAGGTATACTAAAATTCCAACTCAGAACAGGTTGTACAGATTCACTTCAAGTATACAAAATGAAGTAATCAATAAACTGTTCCAATACTTACCTGTGCAAAATAACTGTAAAAGAAAACCTAAAAATGTAATAATTAAAAAAATGTTATGATCTCATTCCTTTAACTTACAATAATATTTTCTGGTGTTAGTACCTTTGCCAATATTCCTTGGAGGTAGAGGAGGTGCACTACTTGTAACAGGTACTGCAGGCTGAATGGGAGGTGGACTGCCACTGAGTATTGCTCCATATGTTTCATTCTGTAATATACTTGGCATAAATCCTCTTTGCTTATCCTTAGCAATGTTCGCTGCATCTCTTGCCAGGGATGCTACATTAGGCTGAAGCTGGTTTGATCCAAGTTGATAGAAGCTGACAGGCCTGTCCTCTCTCCGATTGGGACTGGGTTGCTTAAACACAATAACAAAAGTACTCACTGACACCACATTAGTTGTACTCATTTTATTTATTAGTTGATAGAAATTTATTAGTTTCTAGAAAGAAAAAATGGCTTCTAAAATGCATATTTGTTGCTTTTAATATATAATCTAAAACCTACATTCCACCCTCTTCAAGACAAAGTAACTGTGCACATTAACAAAAAAAGCATTAAATGTGAATTGCATTTCAAAACAATTATAATTTTCTCATTTTCTCCTGTAGTATACTTCTATAGGAAAATACTCTATCCTTATATATACAGCACTATACTCCTATAGATACTCAATATACATATTCAGACTGGATCAAGTAAAGTTTCCCTGCACCAAAAAAACAGACAATACTTTCAAAAGTAAACAAATGACTAGAAGACCCTAAGCCTCACCTGGACCTCAGCTGCCTTAGATCCCAAATAGATCATCATGATCTCGACACCAGGACACAACTGCATCTAAGTATTCTACCTGCAGCTCAGCCTACAACAAACTAGGAGCCAAAACTTCTCATGAACTCTTTTTAGCTTACTAATATCGCTGGACAAGTTCGGGAGATTACTTCAATTGGCAGCTGGTATGGAACATTGCTCATCCCATGCACATTAGCAAATAACATCTAATTAGTTCTCTTTGAGATTTACAGTAAGTCATCTGCTTGCTGTGCACACTCCAGCATTATTTTTCCTGTTTCAACAGCAAGCAGAGTAATTATTGTTATCAAATGATAATTAAAATAGCTGGAGTTATAAATTCATGTGGCTAGTACAGGAATGGTTTGTAACAATCCATAGCTCAGAGAGCATAAACATGCCTTTAGAACTAGTGTCACATAAACATGTCACTGATGTACTGTCTGTATGAAACTAAAATAACCATTTATAGTAATAGCATTTAGGCAGAATAAAGATTTACACCAACAGTATCACAAATAAGCAATTGATTTTCCTCTGAATATATTCAATGCTTACTCTGGATTGATCACATAGGGCCTTTAGTCATGTTATAGCACAGCATTATAGTTCAAAGATTTATCAGAATGATGTATGTGACAGCCAGACACATTAATCCCTGCCTTTACTTTGGCTTAGTAGCCTGACTCCTGACCAGCTGACACCCTCCATTCCCTGATCTCTGCACTGTCCTGGTTCTGCTATTTTTTTCAGCCCACACTTGGCTCTGCTTTCTAAACCAGTTTTGTTTTGTTGATTCAGCTTTTCACTGGTTTACCAAACAGAAACAGCTCAATACAGGGACAAATGTGTGCCAGAATGGAGGCAAAAGATGAGGTAGGACCAGGCAGCCAGGGTGTGGAACAGCAGCAGAAACCAGGAGGGTTGTCTTAGCCTTCTTTTAGGTTAGACTCTCTTTTATATGAAAAATTCTGGACTAAAAGAACTTCAATTTCAGACAAGACCTTTTCTGACAAAAAGTACAAAATCTATTCAACTGCTTTACCAAAAAGAGAGACAAGTCCAACAGCTTGACAACTATAAACGGAACTCTGATGTGATCCTAAGCAACAGCAGTACTCACCAGTGCATTCAATGTAGTCACAGACACTAGTCTGTGATTAATAGTCCTTAATCTCCTTTCAAAAGTCCCTGTAGTATAAGCCTATTAATAGTGGGCAGTGAAGTAGCAGTTTCATTACTTCAAGCCTCATTGCTGAGTAGCAGATAACTTCCTATGTGAGGTGGAGTTCAGGGACTAGCCAAAAAGAGAACACTCCACTGCCGAAGGCAACTAGCAACAATGAAGGAAGTGAGGGAAAACACAGATCAAAAAAAAAAAAACAAATCTAGAGTGTCCCTGAAAGGGATTTGCTAGATATCTAGTTGCAAAGTATCCAAAAGGTTTTACAGCAGGAAAAAAATGAAATCTCTCAAACATAACAGAAAGTTTCAAGCTGCTTTATCAAAAAGGTCGTCATTACTGCTGTGATTATCTGGGTGGTGATACAAGATACGGGAATACATAAATACTGGGATATAATATGAAAGCTCACTCAGAAGAACTGGATTTAGCAGCTCACAGATTCCAGATTCTTGCACAGATATCAAAATTCTCAAGAAAAATCTTAAGAAAATTCTCAGAAGGTAGCAATGCAGACAAGATCTTGCAAAAATGGTATTTTGCAACACAAGAAACTTAATAATGTCAAAATTAGTTTCCAAAACACTACACCAATTCAACAGTGTGATGACCTAGCGTTTTAAAAATCTTCATTTCTGTGAAGACAAAGAAAATGAACCTATGACTGTCAGGTTTTACTATTTCTGAAAACAAAGCAAAACGCAAACACAAGATTTGGTTGTATGTTATTAATTAAGTATTAGCAATTCATGCTCTAGCTGAGATAGGAGATTTCGCAAGAGAAGTACTAAAATGTAGTACTTGTAAAGAGAAAAAAGTCAAATTTCATTATCCATAGGAGAAAGGGGTTTTTGTTAGCTATTTTCAAAAGAAAAAAAGGTTGTGCTAACATCTGGAAATTAACTGACATAAAGCCTATTGTATACTCCTTGCACTTTATAAAGGAAGCAGAAAAGGCATAAGCAATTATAACACTGCACACGCAAAAAGTACAAAAATATGTGTTCAATACTTATATGGAATACTTCAAATTATGAAAGTGTCAGAATGTCATTAATATTTAGGAGCCTATATGTCATTTGAAGTTACTTGTCCCCTAGAAATCCAAGACATTTTAAAGCATTGTTCAGATATCAGAACAGTTTGTTCTCTGTCTGTATGTTTAGGTGCTTAAAATCTTTTTGAATTTGGTCCCCAAATTGGGAAATTACATGTTGAAAATGCAATGAAGTTTCCTATGCTACTAGAATACTTCGTAATACTTGTAATATGACCATCCTTGGAGATATTCAAAAGCCATATGGACATGGTCCTGGCCAAATGGATCCAGGTGACCCTGTTTTAGCAGGGATGTTGGACCAGATGACCTCCAGAGGTTCCTTCCAACCTCAAACATTCTGTGATTCTGGACCCAACAGCACCACACCACCACCAGAAGCTTCAGGTATGAAAAGGAAGAAAACCAAAAATATTTTAACATGAAGATTCAGAATTAAGACCCTACCCTGCTATTAATGGACGTGACTTATTTAATGCACAAGTTTAGTTCCACTGAAGACAAGCCAATGCATAAACTGTTCGAAAATTAAAACCATCGGCTGGAGCTGTTTCACAAACATGAGGAAATACTATAAGGTGCCTCTCTCTGTAACGGCAATTATCCTATCTCATGTTAGTTCTGCTTCATGATCAGAAGATCTAAATATTCCTGAGGCATTGAAACAAACTGGCACATCTGGCTATCATAATTTGATCATCACCACATGGCCATATGTTTTATACCTTATATTAAAGAGGAAAAAGGAGACAAACTATAATTTAAGGAACTACAATTTAAGCTACTATGTTTATCACAGAACTTTATTTCATAGTATCTTCATACCTATAGTAAAAATAGTATTATTTAAATCACTATGAACATCATGCTTACAGAGAGATGTGTAGAGGAAAATAATAAGATGTTGATGCAAACCTGCAGCTTTTCATCCACATCATCATCACTTTCATCCAGATCTTCATGGAGCAGCCGCCATTCATATTCTACATGAACATGAGAATTAAATCTTCCGGACAGTGCTTGAGTAAGCTAAGGAAAAAAAGATTACTGTTGACACCTATGTTATGTGCAGCACTTATTTTAAAACAGCATATTTAAAACCAAACAACACCCCCATGTAGAAGGAACCTTGGTTTCTCAGTACAAATATTACTTTTATTTTAAAAACAGATTTCACTAATCTAGAAAGTTACTGCACTGGGGTAGGTTTAAAGAATTAAGGTCTGTAACCAAACACAACACAAATAAATCAAAAGCAACTAGGCTTTTCGTTAACCATTGCAAGTCCACTCCCCATTTTCTGACAAAAAGCACCACATCCTATTTGCTTTGAGAAATCGCAAATCAAAGAAATTAACTGCAATGGCAGTTTTTTTGAACCAGACTCACTTATCAAGAAGCCTTCACCCCACTAATCCATTTTTCTTGCTTATTAGAAGGAGTGATGGTAGCCGGTTTCTCTTCATAGAGTCACAGAATGGTTTGGGTTGGAAAGGACCTTCAAAGACCATTTAGTCCATGCCCCCTGCCATGGGCAAGGACATCTTCCAACTAGATCAGGTTGCTAAATGTCCCATCCAAACTGACATTAAGCACTTCCAATGATGAGGCATCCACAACTTCTCTGGGCAACAAGAAAATGGCCTTCACCCATGGTCTTCACCCATAAAAGTGCTTAAGTGATTACATTTCAATGAGATGTCAGACACTTGCGGATATGGGACCAGTAGCTCAAACAGAATCATCCCCCAGCCCCAAGAAGTTTAGCATTTCCAAAACATCTAAATTATAATTTTCTTCTTAAAGGCCTAAAATTTGATATAAGCATACAACTATTCCTAAGCATAAACCTATTCCATCTGGAATATATTTGTTGCATATTCAACTGTAAACTTAAATATTCAGACATGTTTCTGCTTATAAATGTACAAACACACAGAAAGATCTAACACTTACCAACTCTTCACAGTGAGTATGTTTTAAACGTTTAGCTATATCAAGTGGCGTCTCTCCTGATTCATTAGCTATATTACAGCAGGAAAAGAAAGTTATGATGATAGGTGTCAGTATTAACACGTCCATTACTAAAGACAAAGGCAAACCTTCAGGTACATAGCGAAGCACTAGACCAAACACACTCTATAATTCCTATCTTTCCTTCAAATGTAGGCCCAACTCATACCAACCCTCTGAATATGACAAGCAGGAGCAACTCAGCATGCCATATATATAGAATGATAGCCATCAAATGGCAGTATATAAGTAGGCAACAAGATATCAGTTAAAAATCTTGGTACTTACTTATCTAAATTTGTTTAAAAACCAAGTGTAACGTATAAGTCCATTTTAAACTTGAAATAAACCGTGAATATTGATTTTTCTATAGTGAAGATTATATTCACAGAATTATGATAAACAATTGAGGAGAAAATGCACTTATTCCACCTTCACTGTTTCTTATCTGAAGCAGTGACAAATATGAAATTGAAGTACACATTACCCTTTTACCTATTTCAATAGATGCCTTCCCTCTCAGCAGCAGTTTGAGGCACTCAACGTTGTCCGTCAGACAGCAGTAATGTAGGGCTGTGCTACCTTTACATGTTTGCTTATCTAGATTGCCACTATTGGAGTACAAGAAAGAAGAAGAAAGCTGATTAAACTTAGTTTCCTACCCTATGTTAATAAACCTCTCTCATTACAAGATTTTCAAAGAATAAAATTACATTTGCAAATACCAGAATTAGCTTTAGTATTTGTTTTCCTTTATTATTTGTATTACTTGAAATAAAAGCAGTATCAATAACGTTTTAATGGTTTTCCATACACTACCTGTTCTGCACTAAGAAGTCAACTATATGAAGGGATGTTCGATCAACTGACCTAACAGCAAGGTGAAGTGCTGTTTCATCTTGCTCCTAAGAATAAAATAAAAGAACACATTTGTTTCTTCTGATCTACAGAGAAGCAGAAATTTTATTAAGGCATAGATTAGATCAATTAAAACATTTAATTTCAAAATATTCAGACATGTAACCATTAAAACATCTCTTGTGAAGACTTTTATTGCTTCCCCTTAATTCCTCTAAAGGAAAAAACAAATCGGTTGAAAACAAATAGATGATGGTTTAGAAAATAGAAAACTAATAGATGAGAATGAAATTATTTAATGGTTAATGTTTTAATACTTTTAAAATATGATATTTGGAAACAATGTTAAACTATTTAATATCTTCTTTTGTTATTGTTAAATTACATCATTAAAAGGACAAGTGTTCAGAACAGTGTTTCAAAATGTTGTTTTCAAATAAGAAAAAAAAAGTCCTTTCTAATTAATGAAAGCACATTGCACTTATAACAATTTGGCTAATAAAATTTACAACACTTACATGGCCATTGGCCAGTGGAATTTTTTCTGTGAGATCCACACCATCAGCATATACTTGGACTAATCCAAGAATGTCTCTTGATTTGACTGCTTCACAAAGAGCATGCAATTTAGCTGCATTGTCAGCATGCTTTTTTCTTGCATATTTTCTCTCAATATACTTGGCAGTAATATAATCTTTTCTTGCATTCCTGAAATTGAATATAATTTACTTCTGTAACTTTTAGCAGAAGATACATAGTAGAATTTCCATAAAAACATGCAAGTCATTTGAAATAAAATCTGGGAAAGACTATTTCTCACTCATTATGATAATTTTTCTTCTTAGATATGCATGTAAGACATGCAGTCTTGTATTTCCAGTATGAAATGTAGCTACAGTAGGTAAATCAAATATCAAAGACCATAAATTTCCCCTCTGAACTCTGGTGTGAAGTTGAGAGCAAGATTACACAGCTCTATGTACGGCAGATATATCAAAGCTTTATAATTCTGGTTTGCTAACAGCAGCCTTGCAGGTTTATGTTTACCTGACTTGTACTCCTATACATGTTAGAAAGGCATGGGATACAAAAATCGGTCTTATAGGTCTGCACAGACTATCCAGGCCTTGGATCTGTATTCATAGCAGTGAGTATGTTCTGTAAAGCACCTCTTCATCACAACTGTAGCAGGGAGGATATAGTGGAGTTTTTAAGTTCTGCCTCTAAACTGAGGTGAAAACTTAGTACACTTGAACACGTGTTATCACTTTTGCTGTTGATACACAACTAACAAATAACAACCCCTCTTCCCACCACAGCAAGACAGGAGCTTGCATGCCTCCCAAAGGCCTATGTCCTTACCAGCTCTTGGGATGTACACAACATTGCACAGAAGACATCTAACAAAGCCATACTTTATCACCTAAATACTATATAATGGGCAAAAGAAAAAAACCCCAAATAATAAACAGAATCAATGGATAGCTCTTGCTCCTAAAGCATACGACAGTATTCCTTCATAGTTTCTAAAAAGTGTCTGTCTTCAGATCCTCATTTCATTAAAAAAGGCCCAAACTTGATATGTAGATGTATCAACCTAAATTATTTTTTTAAATATAAATTTCTAGAAGTCTTCTTATGCTATTGATTTAGCATTCAGTAAAATTATTAGTAATTTTAATTATTAACATTCTGTATTATTATTGATAGTGGTAGTCAAAATTATTTAAACTGCATGGTTTAACATTGGTTCTGTCAGAATGATGAAAGTCCAGATAATGTAAAATCAGCTTAATCCAAAGCCAATTCTTCTGCGTTTTTTTCTGCATCATTTACTAGCTCTTTTATGATGGAGTAGTATCCAGCCAAGTAGGCAGCTGTCCTTGCTGTGTCTCTGCCACCACAGTTCACTGTCTTCGAAGAATTCACTTAAATGTTCTGTCTTTATTCCACATAGTTACGGACTTAAGTCCTAGATGTAGTTTCTAAACACTAGTGTTCAGTAACTTTCAAGTAAAATTGCACCTTATTCCAATTTCTATTTTGTGTTTAAATAGGACAAAATTAATAGTTTTGTTTTTAAACACTACCCTTGTGTCTTTAAAATTCCCAACAAGTCATTTTTAATTTGTTTCTGCCCACAAATCATGATTCAGAGAGTGGTAAGATAATCCTTACTATTAGGGGAGGTACAATTAGATAAAGTTCAATAAAAAAGACATGCAAAACATCAGAAAAAATGTTTACTCCTTGACTATAAGACTATATATAAGACATTATATATCTTCCATAGTCTGCTGGTGCAAACCATAATGGCACAACCCATTAGCAATATTAAATTAAATGCCTGCCTTTTTCAGAAGTAGTGGCTCTTTACTTACATATCACTGCTTGGATTAGGTTTGACCATCTCATCAATCGGCAGACAGAATTCCATAATCTCATTAAACCCAGCATTCCCAATATTCTTTGCAAGCTGTTAAAAAAAAAAAAAACACAGCTCACTTAATAAACTTGTTCAGTTATTGACCACACACATACCAGCGGGAGGACAAGGGAAAACGGGAGTTGGGATTTTTTGCTTCTGATTCCTAGTTTTGCTACTATGTCAGCGATCACAAAAAGATTAGGTACCTTTTTGCATGTCAGCTTTCAGCTGGGATTTAATGCACGAACAAGTAACTGCAGAATAATCCATCAAGACACCAGTTCATACAATAAATACAAAATACTTTGTGCTGGGTAAAAACAAACATATAAACTGTCACAGAGCAGCTGATATGTGGTAACTTCTTTGTGCAGCAAAGCTGAATACATTTTCTTCCTTTGAGGATTAAAGTTGTCTTCTAGAATAATGCTAAATAATTAATGGGATAAGTATTTGTGAAGTCCTTCAATTTTTAATCTGTGAGGCACATTTATATGTCAAACAGCTGTGTTCTTTTAAAAAGCAACCACGGGTAAAAAGACATGGAAATACAAAAAATATGAAGCCTCTGCTAATTTGAATTCTGAGACTAGCCAAAATTTACAGTAAGACACTATGTTCCAGGAAGTTCCCTTAAACTTGAAGAATTAAGCTTTCTTAATTTATGTTTATCCAGAGGCAACTTGCAAGATTAGAATACATCGTTAAAGTGACAAAATATACTTATGTTGGAAGTATTTTATAGTACTATTTTTAAGTTAATAAAAGCAAGTTGATTACCAAAAGTTCAGATGTTCCCAGCACATCTAATGTAAGTGATTGCATTCTGGAATAGTGAACACCAAGTTCTCTATGGATTCCTGAGCATTCAATGCAAGTCAGAATTCCCAAATTTGTTGAAAGCCAGGTGGGATCTGAAACAGAAAGCACCCATAGAATTAAAATTTATTCAGGTAGTTACTTCATTCTAGAAAATGTAGTATACAGAAATGAAATTCTGTAACATAAGATTCCCACTTTTTTTTTAGTAAAGGACATTGCCCTCCAAGGGAGCTGCTCAAACAGTCCAGTTTGTCATTCTCCACAGGGCTTTCAGGAACTGCATTTTTCCATCACCAATATAAAGGTGTCACATTCTGAACTGGGGGTATAGGTGCAGTTCAGACTGAAATAACAATGCCTACAGGTTGTTTTTTTTTATTTCAAGTGAAACTTTAAACTAAGTGAAGCATCAATGATTCCTAAGTATACATACAACACCACACTACAATGGATTCCCACTCCACTATTTCAAAGACACTAAGGCTCATCCCTCTCCTTTCGTTACTCTTGCTTGTCTTTTCACCTGGTATTTTGCCTTCTTGCTGTAACATTCCCTCATCTTTCAGACAAATAATTAATTTCTGAAGATTTAGACAGCTTAGAAATTAATTTATTTGATAAAGGTTTGAATCTTCTTCATTAAAGACAGCAGGATTGACTCTTCATAATTTCATACACTATCTATTGCTGGAAGTTACTATTGATTTATAAAGTGCATACATCTTCAGATTTTATGTTTTCAGCTACAGTTTCAGATCAAAAAAACCCCTAAGTCCTGCAGTGCCTCTGTAACATAAAAGAACACAGGAAACAGCAGGATTTAAAAAATAATTTGAAGAGCATTAAAGTAGAAATACATCGATCAACAAACCAACACCGCAAACCACAGTCAGCAGATGCCACCTTTTCCAAATGAGCAGAGTCTTAGACATATTCCCTGGCTCACTCTCAAAGACAAACATAAAGAAAAAGAAAGAAAGAAAAAAAAAATAGGGGGGGGGGGGGGGGGGAAGAAGAGGTGTGTTAGGAAAATGCTTGAAATATCTTACTGCTGTCCAGTTTTACCTAAATCTTACATAAAATACGGCCTAATAAAATAAGTTCAATTGATTTATATAAGCAAAAGTTACAATAAGCAAAATACATGGGACAAAAATAAGCTTCTTAGTAATTTTTCTCCCCAGTAACAATATGCATATAGCAAATCAATCTTACTAAAGTAATGCAATTAAATTGGTACCATATTCTAAAAGTGAAAGCATAAACATCAGCTTAAATATTCTCATGAGACACAGAATTTTTACCAATTAGAAATATGCTTAATTGAGTCACCTTGTGCTCCACAGTCACAACACACATCATTTCCAGTCATCCTCTGGACTTCAGATATAATTTCTTTTGTCAGTTCCTGGACAATATTATTTTCTCCTGTGTTATCATCTCCTTTGAATGCATTATTTAAAGCTTCCTCTTTGCTGTTTTGTAGCACAGATGTCCATCTAAAATGGCAGTAATATTTTACTATTAAACGCTTCAGCACTTCTAAAGTTCAAGGTAACTTCTCAGTAGAACACCAGTATCAGAAATAAAATTGGCAAAGTAACTCACATTTGACATTCCTGTTCATCCTCTGCTTGAAAGTGGTACGTCCTGTCATCTGCACAATAAATAATTCACATACTGATTAAAAAAAAGATTGAAAGACTGGTTTTGCAGAAATCTCTCAGAAAAAACTAGAATTAATTGATGAGGTCTCTAGTCTCACTCATCACTGGAGTGTTGACAGGCAAAAAAAGTCTATTTAGCAAGTTTCACTCATACTACCTACAGTTCATCTATGCTTATACCTATGTTTATACAAGGTGGCTTGCCGCTCTTTAAATAGAAACTGTTTTCTTCAGTGCTTCTATCACACAAACAGCAGGGGAGCATAGCAATTTTTCCATGTTCTAGATATAACCTCAGTAATGACAAGACTAAAGTTCTACTGGGGGTGGTGGCGTGTGTGACTAAAATATACAGTCCGTATTTGAGTTTATCTGTGTATACAAAAAAGACTTAAATTGTCAAAATGAGCTCTCAAAAATCACAGTAATCAAAAATGGCAAAACAAATTTGCCAGACACAAAGTCCAAACTACAATCAGAATAAGCCCCAAGCCGTTTCAAAAATTTCAGTTTACTACTACTTTTGGAATTCTAAGCATTGTTATCATAGTGTACTATTAAACAAAAAGCGTAATACATTTTAAGTCTATGAAACAAATGAGATATGACACTGTTGACTGAGTTGGAGTTAAAATTAGAATAGTTTATGAGAAGAACAGAGATAGAGCTACTGTCAAAAAGATACTCTAGGCTGAAAACTCTTAACGTTTGAAAAATATTCAGGCAAAAAGGTACTAAAAGGTAGTTTCAAACATGGAAAATGTTCAGAGAGTGAGGATACATGAAAGGACAGAAAGGGTAATGCTAGATAAAGAATAAGAGGTTTTATCTTGCCATGATACGGCAATTTGCAGTTTTTAAAAAACAACGTTTTTAATCTCTATAGTAAAAGTGAAAAAATTACGTGGAGAAGGCTAAGAGGCTGCTGATGCCTTGTCATATATATATGATGGGACAAATGATAGTGTTGTGATAAGCTGATACTGGGCAAAATGTAACATGGTAATCAACAAAGAAAGAAAGTGCAAAAGTAAACAGGGAAGACCACTTGCTTGTGCAGAAATGGAAAAGCTGTATATTGCATACATGCATACTAGGCTACTAACATAAGTAACATATCTTGTATTTACAAATAGAAAAGAACATTATGCTCTGATAAAGGAACAAATGAGGAACAGATTTATATTCTTCTCCCCAAATAATTTGAGATATATATTTTAGTCCATAAATATAGTACTAAAATGTCCCAGTGAGAAATCAAAGGAAACATTTCTACTATACAATTTCGTAATACCCCGTTCAGTTCCTAAAATTATTCAGTTTTGGTGGTTTTAATATGTAGACTCTCTATCTCACCTTTGTATCTATTATGAGATAGATAAAACTAAAAAAGTTTTCAGTATTTTCTTCACAGTTACATAGCAACCACTATGCTTAAATTTTAAGAAGTTTTGTCATGGTTTAAAAGCATCTTTTGATCTTGTACAAAAGTCATAACTTTCCAAGATGATCAGTTATGACATTTTCAATATAAAGAGTGATGTCTCTTCAATATAAAAAGCAAAATCATTGTTACTCCATTGAAAGGCAGCACAAAATGATATATAGGATGAAGGAGTAAAGACAGCTTTAAAAACAAGTGGTTGTCCAAAGAAACAGGTACAGTTAGTTCCATTATGCTAAAATAAGTGTAATGGTAAATTGTCAGAGGAAGGGCATTTTATAAAGGGCAGTGTTCTACAACTGCAAAAAGTTTAAGTGGATTATTGACACAACTACAAAAATAACGCAAACCTCTCTGATATTAGCTTCAAGTAAAAAGACCTAAACAACAAACCTACGTGATATGAGGTCAAAACATTTTTTCTCTTCTGGGTTTGTTTTCACTTGGCAGGTTAACAGATTGAGCTTTGCTGGAGGTCGGTTAGCCTATTTGAAGAGAAAACATACACATTTTAGCATATTGATACTGAGCCCTGCAGTCCAAAAACCACAGGATAATGTGCCACTGGTGAAAAGACTTGACAAATGGCTGTTACTTTAATTTTTAAGGTACCCAGGTTTTGATTTATGTTTTCTTCCACATCAGGGTTTGTAAACTACATTTTCTTGTATTTGGCTATTTTGTTCATTGATAACTGGATAAACACTAGAATTTTGAAAGGGGAGAGGGGTAAAAATCACTTTCATTATCAGTACTCTGATCACCTTACCAGTAACGCTTATCTGCAGGAATCGGATGTAACAAAGATACAGATCCATTTTAGGTTAAGTTTAATCCTCTAACAATTAGACAGTTTAAAAAAAAAAATAGTTGTCTAGGTTTTCAATAATCAAATAATTTGACTCCTGCTAATGTCTTTAAAGAGAGCCTGGACAACCAGTTAAAAACAAATGCTCAATTTTTAAATCAGTGAAAGGACACATTGAAGGAAAGTAAGAAGTTTGCACAGAGAACTCTTGCAACAAACATATGCAAAACTAAACTGAGATAGTTCATTACCAAAAAAATGTAGTGAAACAAAATATATTCTATAATGAGAAACATTTTCTAGTCAAGCTGCTCTCAGCTATTCCAGTTTCTTATTAAATAAAAAGTGGCAATGTTTTACTAAAAGCAAAATGCACAAGCAAACTTCATTTTGATAAAGTCCATACAGGCTACAAAGACTTTTCAAATAGCATCTCTGCACTAACTTCTTCTCTCTCTTAACCTGCCTGTCCTACAAACCTGGGTAGGACCTAGAAAGGCATTATGTTTGCAGCCTTGACTTGAGGAATGGCTTGCACTTGCTACAACAGATAACTAGTTTCACTCTTCTTTTAGAATACCTAAATCAGAAAGCAGATTTAACTAGAGAGGCTCTGCTCTCAACATCTGAAAAATAATGATTTGTTTAATCCATCAGAAAAGTACTATTATAAAGATAGAAATATACATAAACACATTATCACGCTTATTGTTGCGGTCTAACAATTTTAATCTATCAAGTTGCTAAAATAAGATTTAATCTTCTAAGTAAGAACTGTTATCAAATGAAGCTGAACTACCACATAATGTAATTAACTTGCAATGAATCGTAAGAAACTTAGATCTTCTCAATCTCTTCTAAAATTATTGATGAAAACATTTCATGCAAAAAAGAAGGGAGAACAAATCTGCAGAGTACAGATTTCCTTGAAACAATCTGATAAAATGACGTAGCTGGCCAAAAAAAATCCAACATCATTGTATCTGAAGACCAGTAAAACATCAAAACTATGGAGAAACATAAGGGAAACAATTACTTTTTTATTTTTTTAAGCAGGAAAGAAAAAAGAGCATGGTGTCGTTGGAAAACAGCATGCTCATGCTTTGCCCAACAGAAGCAGCAGACTTAACAAAGTCATGCATGCTTTGAAACAAAAAACCTGCAGGTCACCTGCTGGGCAATGTAAAACAAATTGTACCCAAGAGAGGTTTTGGAGGCAGCAAGATGACAATTGACTGACAACCACATTGTATTCTTTGCCTAGTAAATAGCTTTTCAAATTCCAGACAGTCCTTTTAGTAGTAAAAGCACACACAGTTTTCATTATTTTAGCCTATCAACAACAAGAGTTCTTTGTAACTGGAAGCATATGAGAAACTATGTTGAAAATGCCAGCTTGGGCCCAATTTCTTGGTTATATTTAAATATACTTAATATCCATAGCACTTAAGTTTCCAGTGTTTACATTTTTTGTGTAACTGTTTGTCTAAGAAATGTCCAGAAGCTGCCTATAATGAAAATACAAACTAAAACAAACAAAAATGGAAGTACAAGTATTTGGTAAACAAGCCACTGGGCAACTCATATATAACTTTCTCACACACTCTGTAAGAATGTAAAAATGCAAGTAAATTCAGGTTAAGAAAGAATCCACTTGCCCCAGGACTTCGGATGTGAAGCGCATTCAGGACCTAACTAGTTTTCTATAACTTATGAAACATGAAGCTGTAAATGGGTCCACTAACGTGCTTCAGAGAGGCCTGAAGGACCAACGTACACAGAACTCATCTCTCTGGATAGGAGGATGCAGCGTAAGAACTCTGTATCAGGATCTGAGAACTCAAAGAAATGGCTGCAACAACCTAAAAGACATCCTGGGCCAATGTGCTGATCTTGAAATCCAAAGATATTCCAAAGCTTTTAACTGAGGACCCCCTAACCTGAAGTCAGCATTAATAAGGGTATTAAAAACCCCTGCCATCTTTGCATGTGGCTGAAACCACCACATCCATGCTTTTATCCTGTGGCCGGATAACAGCCTCTGCCCACCCACCTCCCCAACACGTGCTCGTTACCTGGTGGACAACATGCGTCCGTCACGCGGAGAAGTTAGAGCCACAAGACAAAGGGAGGCAAGGCTGTGTAAATTCCTTAGCCACACTAGGCTGTAGGATGAACCAGACTTTTGGCAAGATTAGGAAACACTGGAAGTAGCAAATGGTAACAAACATATAACTGCTATTACACTATTTGTTTGAAACCTCTGGGTTTCATTTTCCTGCTTGAGTCTCTGATTAGACAACTGAATTTCAGACTACATGTTTTTGAACATCCATGTTAACCCACCAATGCCCTGAAAAGGTGTGCTGCCACCTCTCATGCCATACATGCAGACTTCAGAATCACCTCGTGTTCCTTCCTGGAGAAACTGTAACCCTCCATCCACCAAAACTGACTTCTTAAGTGTTCTGGCAACAATCAGTAAGTGTAAGAATCAAAAAGTAATGCCTCTAAGACAATACCAAGGAGTTCAACAATTTTTACAAAAGGCATGAGCAAATGTGTCCACTTAAGACAACCACTCAGACTGGTTGGCTGATTTCACCATGCATTTTTTCTAGATATCACAGTGATTTGCAAACAATCAAAAGATTAAATCTGAATCTTTTTGCATTCAGATTGTCCTATTAATCGTAACAGTAGATTAAAGTTTCCAACAGTAAGGAAAGAACAACAAAAAAAGATTTCTTGATAATTATTATCTTGTTTTTTCTTTTTTTTTTTTTCCAGAGAACCAGCAGATTCCATTTAAGCTCTTTAAACACAAATCAATTTTGAGGAATCTGAGGTTCCTCAAATGTAAGTTTTTCTCTTGTGACTTCTTGAAGCAGAAACCACTTAGGAATTACTATTTACATGGTTCAATCTGCTTCTATCATTGTCTTTTTATCCACATGTGTTAAATTGCAGGCAGGTCGATGTCAGAAAATTTCCATTTGCGCATAATTACACAAAGGATCAGTGTCTGTTTTTCCATCAACCATTACCTTGCACATTGCTCTATGAATGCCAATTTCTTTGAAGCTTTTAGACATCTAAAGGTCTAACTTCTGCACATACACCAATGCAGACACATGTATCCAGTGTTACTGCTGGGTGACTGACAGAACCAACCATATTCTCCCCATCCATATGAGGAGAGCTTTGCAGGTAAGTTTGTCAGAATACAGCATCTGCAACTGTCTGAAGATAGCTGTTCTAGAAACTAACTGAAAAAATAGTCCCTCATAAAAAGACTACATGACCAAAGAACAGAAATCCATGAAGAATATCTAATCTTTAAAGGAAAAGCATTTAGAAATTGGTATTTCATAAAGTAAACAAAACTGACAACTGAATTTCTGAGAGATGGTTCATTTTGATGAACAGCTGGGAAGAGAGAATGACACATCGTATTTAGAGGCCAGGAGACATCGACCCTGAGAAAGCTTAGAAATCGGTGTTGTTGCTTCAGAAGTCTCAGAAGACATTCAAGAGCGGCCCAGAAATTCTTAACAGAAATCACTTCTACCCATTTCAATCTGTATGAAACAAGCATTAATTTTTTACACAAAATTGCCATCAATACCTAAGGGGAAACTGAGCAAATAAGTAGAAAAACGTTTTAGGAGTGTATTTTAAAACAAGTAGGTACTCTTTTAATTATGTAACATAAAAAGATCAAGACCAAACCTGTGAAAACCACATTATCTAAATTCACATTTAAGTATCTACCTTAGCAACTGATTTCCAGCTATAGCTCCACTGATTTCAGTGGAAACTTACTGCTTCTAAAAATGTCAGACCATCTGGTAGACAGCTTATAAGAGAGATGAACAACAGTATCTTGACAGACTCAGTAACTGTGCTTGCATGTGAAAGTTTTAAAATTCTGCTCCACAAGTGGGTTCTGTAGCCTCTGCCGCTCTGAGCTGCCCTAGCCATACGCCCACTGGTACCACTACAGCATGTCCAATGCCAAGCGCATTTACAGCACATGGAGACACCAGTATAGAAACACTAACAGACTTTTCTCTGACAAAGACACACTCATCCACTCTCAAATGAGAACACCAATAAACTGGTGGACAATTCCAAAGCCATAGTAATGACTCTACTTTGCAGGCTTGTTCTTGCACTCCTCCTTAACTCCTCGTTGTCCATTCAGAAAGCAACAGCTTGTGGTTAGATGCACAAATGAGAGATTGATTCATTTTTGCTGCCAGGGTCAACTTGTAGTCATAGCAACAGGCATAACAGGATGAAGAAACAGGACTGTTTATTAGACCAAGAATGGGAAATACTGTCACTGAATTAATTTTTGCCTTAAGAAACTTTCTTAGAAGTTTTGTGAAAGCAACATAAAAAGAGAAAGGTTATGGAAAAGCAAAAACAGCTGAGTTCAAAGCCCAGTGTAAAAGGTCCAAAATAATAAAGTATAAAGTTTAAAAACTTTAAGTATAAATATTAGAAGTTTTTTAATATGTTTCAAATATTAGTAGCAAAGAAAGACGGACTTTTAACTCTCTGTCTCTTGTCATTCTGAGAGAAGTTACCTTCAGAGTTGATCTTCCCCAACAGCTACTCCCCAGCAAAGCTACCTTAATGACAGATTACCACATAGCAGCAAATATGGGGGAAGGAAGAGACTCAGCATTCTCTCAGTTTGTTTTGTAAATATAAAAAGTTGTTTAATGTACATCTAAAAAGATGGCTTAATGCTCAACTACATCTTTCAAAATAAAAAAAAATAAGTCAGAATTTGTATTTTTAGATAGTCTGGTAAAATATGAACAGTTTACATGAACTGAGACATTAAAAAAACTTTTTCGCCCCATTAACAGTCACGAGCATTAAAACAGTTGTATTTTCAGATACTGTGCATATCTTGATATATTTCTGAAAGGCTGCCTTAAAAAAAAAAAAATCCATCATATTCAAAATGCTTCATCAGGAATCTAGCTAATTCCACATTATAAATATAGACCAGCATAGCTTGCCTTTTTGTATTAGCAACCATGTACATAAAATACTGTAAACAAATACTTACTGTACCATGGGAAATTGTAAGAAAACCATTTTTAACTGAGCACTTCCTTTTCTGCCACACTTTTCTGATTCTGGTATAAAGTGGGGGGGAAAAAAAAAGTGATTCAGTTTTTAATATATTTAGTGTTACATTGCTTCAGCTCTTAGGAACTAGGTTTTTTCTTCCAGTACAATACATCAGTACTTACCCATCACTTTTCTTGTACAGACTACCATTTCGTTCAGTGCCATGTTCCTTGTTTCCCTGAGGCTGATGTAAACTGTAAGCTGTACTCTGGCGAATCTGAGAATCCTGAATATACAGAACAGCAATTTGCAATGCATTCCACACTTTCAACCAAAATATCCCCCCTGTTCATGAGTTTCAGAATCTTTCCTTCCTGCTCTAATCCTACAAGCCAAACGAAGCACATTTTTCCTTCACAATGAGAGAGAACAAGATCCATTTCTTTTTTCAGAGGGCACAAAAAACATTTGAGAAGTAGCCATTATCAGTACCTGCCAAAATCCTCTTACTTGCTTTTACTTAGCTTTGCTTTTGGCCTTCATACATGGTTTTAACTCAAAAATTGATTGGGCAGCAAGCTTTCCAACTCATGCAAACACTGTCATGTACAAACACTAAAGATTATTATTACCTGCAATTCCTAGTGCACCCTTCCATTGTAATAAAAAAAAATTACATACATTTGAAATGGTTTTCCTTGTGGAAACTGAGTCAAGTTATTCTCTGAAAAGCAGAAGAAAGCTCCTGGAAACATGGTACAGGAGGCATACAGGAAAACTGAGAAGTTATTTCCATAACAAGAACAATTTAAACCAAAATGTCCCGAATGAAGTAGAATTCTGGGACAGGAAGCGATGAAGATCAACCAAACCCCTCTCACTGCTCTGAGAACTACCCAGATGCAGGACCCACTGCTGCAAGAGTCCAACTTGTTAAAAAATCAGAACCTGATAATGAGGAATCTGATGAGTTCAGCTATATTATCAGCAGCAACATGATGGGACATTTCAATGCATACAGTAACAATGACTAGTACTTACAATACTTGTTGTTTTCTTTTCTACCATCTTTGCTCTACAGATGTAATGCACCTCTGTTATATATGGCAGATAATACAAGTACAGCGAGGAAAAAAAACACAAAGCAAGCAGCTCACTTTAATGACTGAGCTATTCTAAGCAAAAACTTAAGAGCTATTAAGAACTTACTAATTTGATTAAAAAAATCTCTTTTGCTAAAAAGATGAGACAGTGTGTCTCATATACTAGAAGTACGATCACAGATACATCATTCTGGGTTTTCAGAGCGTACACAATAAAATATACAGTGATCTAAAAAATATGAATTAAGAAGATAGTTTCTCTCTAATTACAGCTAGCTTCATATGCTTTATTAGCCTAAGCATAAGACATCTCTGGATATAAGCAGGGGGAAAAGCCCAACTAAACCCAAGAACACACTTGGACTGTGCTTTTCCCCAGAAAATGCCAGCTCAGATGGAATGCTGCTCCTTCACAAGCTCTAGCAGCACATTCTGCTACCAAAGCTGTTCAGGATCCTCCTCAACAGTAGTGGCAACACATGACAGGTCCGAAATATGATGGTAGGGACAGAGCTACCACCTAGATCCCTGTTCAGTGCATTTAGGAATCCACACTTCCAGGCTGCAGGATTTCAGGTTCATCCTGAATACAATGCTGGAGCTCAGTGGTCCTGAGAAGCATGAGACAAGCTCAAGGCAGGCTGCAGCACTCCTTGGTGCTCCTTTTCAGTAGGAGCAACCTCTGCCTCCTTCCCTGTCTCCCAGCTAGTGACCTAGGAAGCCATATCAGGTAGCTACAACATTCATCTGAGGCTTTTATGGCACTACAAAACCACTACTTACATGTGCCTGACAAAGTATCTCTTCAGATTTAAACCAGTCTATTTATCACTCCTCTCCAGCCTGTTTACATAGAATTATTTGGTTTTAGCACTGTGGCTGCCCAACATAAAACCAGAACAACACTTAAAAAGAATTCTCATCACTGATTAAGAACTGCTGCACACATACATTTACTGACTTCTGAAGAAAATCTGATCTGCCACTGCCTATTCTGTCCTACCGATGCCTTGATCTCTGCCTCCCATTTGTCAGTAAAGGAACTCCATTCCCAAGAAGATTAAGAGGCCTTACAGGAAATTAATTTCAGTTCTCCACATCCTCAATTATGTAAAGATTTCAGATGACCTCCAACACCTGCCCATAGCACCATTCCCATTACTTAAGATTGTGCTGCTAGTTTTTGTGCATTATTTTCTACTGCATTTCAGCTACCTCCCTTCAGCTGTTGTTTACACTCAGCTGCTGTGTTTGGGCAAACTGGCAAGCCAGTAATACAAGCTTCCTGCCTTATTTCAACTGGAGAGGAAGCTGCTGTAGCTGACGTGTATTTCCACACATTCATTACTATGAACAGTATCTTTAAAAAATTTGATACTAGTTCATGGAAAGAACTTAGGGACAAGACAAGGAGATTTTCAATGTTAAATCCTTGTTTCAGGCCATGTCCAAATCAATAGAGTCCAACATAACTGCCAGATGATGGCTTTCCACAGCTCTCTGACAAGCAAGTTGATGATTTTGATCTAGCTCCTAACAGACAGGATGCCATACCACACATCACCATCACAATTAACATCCTTCCGGGCAATTTCAGCATGCCTTTTCCATATGCAGGCTCCCCAAAGGATCTGCCCTTATTTCTGGTTTGCATATTGCGAATAACAGGAGCACAAATCACAGATAAGAGGGTCAGACCCAATGGCCTCATCGGAGGAGCGGGAACAATGTACATTACCTATGGGAGGAAACAGATCACTGCAGGATATAGGACATACCTAGGTGCAGAGTATTGTCATTCTAAATATCTCTTGAACATAACAAGATCAGAACAGACTGAAGTACACAAGCCTAAGAAACTGAACTTTGTGCACTTTATCAGCTTTGAAATGCAGATAGGAATACAAAAAAAGGTGAGTCATTTAATTGCAGCATGTTTATAGTGAAACACTTCACTGGCCATAAAGAGGTTTGAAATGATTTCTTCCAAAGTCTTACAAAGACCGACTGACTTTTAAATCAAGCTGAATAGCACAGATAAAAATGAAAGAAATGTGAAAACAGTATTCTGTAAAGATGGTCTGTGACTACTGTTCTAAAAACCTATTTATCAACCCCACTATTTGAACACAACAGAACTTTCCATACAAGGTGCTTTAACTTAATACACGGTGAATTTTGGCTAGCCATTCCACAGCTCCCATGGTGCAGGATTTTAGACTGTCCAGATCACTTCTGTGCTTAAAGCTGCCAAAATCCCTTACAGCTCTCCAAGAGCCTGAGCTTCTCTTGCATTTGCAGGATCGCTGCCAGGAGGATGTTTCAGAGATCCATCCCTTATCTATTACATCCCCACAGAGCCTCCAACAGATGTATCTGCCAGAACCTAATGCAGGCAGCCTCTCCTATAGCACACCTACCATAATTTCTGTCAAGAAACACAAAATTTATCCTATTTTGCAGTGGCCTAAATAGTTTATAGGTTTTACCAAACATGTAGAAGCAGAAGAAAATCTGAACACTACAGTAAGGCTACCTTGAGAGAGGACACAGGAAAAGAGAGAAATGAAGGCAATATGACTCTAAGGTTGACCCCAAAACTTCGTAGAAGCTCTACAGTTTGAAAAATAAAAGTTTAACAATTAAAAATTACAGAGGTGTACACACAGTGATGTTTCAAAAAGAAGTTCCAATACAAGTCAGGCTTGAGGAAGTTCTGTGCAGGAGGTAACTATATATACAGGCACAACAAAAAGGGTTCATTATTGAGTGTTTGTGTCTTTTTTTTTTAACACAACAGAAAAAATATTTGTCAATGTTCTATTATTTAATACATGACGTCCATTTTAACTAAAAATACATAGATCTTCAAAATCTTGCAAGAACATCAAATCAAGCAACTGGATTTAATTCCCAAAAGAGAGCGAAGACAAAATCACCAATTTGCCTTACAGCAGTTTTCTTTCCCAAGAACAATCTGATTACTTTTTTTGAGGGGGAGGTAATAGGACAAACAGATGAGGAGGAAAAAAAGAACCAATCTTTTCATACCAACAGAAAAAGCTCAGAGGAAAAATCCAGTTTCTTGAAATCTGAATGGAAACCATGCCAACTATTTTCATTAAAACATAGTAACACTTACTCTCCTAGACTTCGGTCACAAAATGTAAATGCATTTCAGGAAGGAAAAAGAAATCAGTTATAGTAAAGGAAATTACAGTGCAACAAGAATAATATTACTAGGTTGTACAGTAAATTATACCAGGATGGTATGTATGGCATCCCACTGATTAATTATGTTTTCAAAAATCTTTAAAAATAATTATAGTACTTCTCATGCTCTGCAGGTAAGCATCTATATCTTAATTTGCAGAATTAATAAATAATGAATATAGCATAAAGCACTTTTTGCACTTGTATTTTTAAATGCAACAAACAGTACAAGTAATAAATTTATGCGTATAAATACATTTTTCAGTCTGTGAAAAGCTGTGCGCTCACCATAGTTTTCATATACATTTAATATCAGTATCACTGATAAACTCTTAAACATAGAGAAGCAACATTCCCGGCAACCATGAAACCCAACTGCTTCTATTATCTCTCTTGAACAAAGACAAAAATAAAATAGGAAGCTTGCTAACACACCCCAATCAGCAAAGACTCCTTATTGAGAGTGGGCAATCAACAGTGAATCCAAAGTAGTCACCATTTCCACTAAGATCACTAGTCTGTCATTCCACAGAGATCAAATTTGGAAGTTTTTAGCAAATGTACCCCTCTGAGTCCTAAATGCCAGGCAGAACCTAAGAAAGTTCCTGCAAACTGTATGGGACTTTGTACACAGTGGTCATTATCACAAATTTCATGTGGTAACAAACAGCACCTCAAAGTGAAGAGCATTTAAGACTGTTTGAAAGCCTATCAACACGTCACAGAATAACAGAATGGTCTGGGTTGGAAGGGACCTTTAAAGATCATCTAGTCCAACCCCCAGTCCACAGGCAGGGACCTCTTTCACCAGATTAGGTTGCTCGACAACCATCATCTAGCCACGGTAGGAGCTAGGAGCCACCATAACATTTAGGGGAAGATGAAAGCAAGACCGGAAAAGATCAAGGAAGTCTGAGCTCTACAGACTAAACTATTTCATTGTGATCCCTCTCAGAAAGTGAATCTGAAGGGCAGGGGGTGGGTGGGGGGTGTTCATTCATCACTTGCTCATGGCCCGGCACACAAAAGGAAGCTGGCTCGCATTTGTTTATATGAAGAGAATGCACTAGCAATCTGAAACAAAAGCAGACCCAATAATTAGGATTAGATTATACAAAAGATGCTTGCTTCCAGATCAGAGTTTGCCAAATAAAACTACTCCACAATTCTTTAAGTATAACAGCAATCATAACCAAAACTCAAAAAAGTTATTTGTTAGATTGCTGAACTGATCCAGCTCTTGCACCTTGGAAAACTAGCATCCTGCAGCAGAGTAGCAAACTTGTAATTTTTGCAGATGATGACAAGAGGTATTTGGGGATTTGAAGTTCAGTTTTACATAAACTTTATACAGTTCCGAATATTATTGTGAGAGAAGATTGTACTAACGAGATCTCCTTGATACTGCCAAAGTTCTTTCATTCTCAGTTTGAGCTACATAGACAGTTAGTTCACAGACAGTGCACCATCATAAGTATTTTGCAATATCGCTAACAAAAAGAAATTATTTTGCAATAAGTCTCATATATTTTTAGTGAGAATTCATTTAAAAAAATCCAAACTTGCCTTTCTCAGAAACATTAAATATCAGCATCAAAACAAAGATGAATAAATAAAAGAAATTAGATGGCTGATGAAAGTTAAAATAACTACTTCAAATCCTAACATTACATTAGAAGTAATTGTAATGGGTATTCCAAAGTTAAACCACCTTATATGCTCACCTCTTTCTGATCAACCTGGAGTGCCGATTTTAAAATATCTCTAAGCTGTGTTAATTGTCGTCTTTCCTCATCTTGTGCTTGTTTAATCTCGAATGAAGAAAAACACTGGTTAAAAATAACATTATTATTTCTTTTCAACACAGTTCTCCCAAACTTGCTACTTAATTGTTTCTTTTTTCTGAGAAGTGTTCAGCAAGAATTAAAACACAAAAAGAAAAGATAATGTGATCAGTTTATTTTCCTTTATACCTTCAGAAAACTTGATAACGGCTAGGATGGTAAGACTTCGATATTGCCTTACACTGTTCTTGCTTCCTTGTGTTCAATTTGAAACCATATGTTATTGTCCACTTAGTAAACTTTTTAGAGGAAAGTCTGTTTTCCTAACGTTTTACACAGTGGGGTCCTGAACTGAAACTAAGGCCTCTGGATATGATACTAAAACAAAATTTTACTAAAAAACCTACTCAAAACCTTAAAATGCTGACTATTAAAACAGTCAGCCAACCTGAACCAAAATGTTATGAGTTGTACTGTGAAAAAAAAGTTTACAACACAAATGTGAAAAGCTGCTACTCACTGTATAAAGATCTGTTGAGAGTGTCTCAATTGAAGGCTTGAGACTTTCAACTGCTTTTAACCCATCCTGAAAGAAACTTAAAAAGAAAAAACAAAAAGCAAACTGTTATTAAACTTTACTTTGTATTTTCTGTTTAAAAAGTTGCCAAAGGAAGTCGTGCGTATTATTATGCCATGACATAAACTCCAAAGCCTTAAACATTTATTTTTGTGCATCTTTGGCCAATCCACCTCTTTATTTCCATCACAGCATATTCTACCATGCCAAATCTCCAATTAGATTTAGAACTGCCACAATCCACTGCCACACAAAAGTTTGCCTCATTCTCATCTCAAATACAGGTTCTCATCCCACTTTTTGAAGGCCCAGAACAAGAAAGATTCATTTGCAGAACAGCAAAAGCTCTAGTAGATATAAAATAATTGTGACTTCCTGAAGCCGAATAATTTCATGCCTGATGCAATCTTCCCACTGAAGGAAAACCCCTTTGTTTCCCAAGCATTAATTATGGCCTATATGCAAACTGAATATGCTACATCTTACTGTATCATATGTTTTTTTGTATTGGCTCAGTAATGTTATCTATGCCAAGTATTCCAGCTCTTAAAAAAAGTGAGATTTAAAAACATAAATTTCAAGAAACCACAACTACATGCACATTTGATTAAAAACTGCTGCACCATTTGCAACAGAAAATATTTTCACTCTGGGAAGCAGATATGAAAGTGATAACACAACACAGCATTTATGTTGTTGAAATTTTATTAAATGGATAGAGCAGATGAATGACATACTACAAGTGAAACTGATTTTAAAAGCAACATAGCTATATAGGGAAAAAACATACATAGGTGCAGACTGGTCTTTTAAGATGAAAACTTACTGATTTTAACAGGTTAACAGTAGCTCTTTCAAGTTTACAGCTATGACTTTATTGCTATATTATTGATCTGTAAGACTACCATAAAAAAATACATCATTCTAATGAGACCTTTGTGTTTTACTACTGAGTCCTCCAATTAATTAGAAAAAGAGTGATTCTTTCAATACAATTTTATCCCACTGCTTATGCAACTTATTTTTCTTGAGCACAGAATTAATTCAGATCATTGCTAGATACACTCAAAAAAGCCTGTCAAAACTAATGGACCACTAACTAATAGACCAAACTAATAGCTCTGTTTCAAGAGCAGTTTACGAAATATGCCAAATTATTGTGCGGCACTCCTGTGGAACAGACAATTATATAGCTCAGCCTCATTACATATTTCAGAATATAGTAACAAAAGCAATGACTAATCTATTTGACAAAAGCAATTTGTCAAAAGATATCAGCAAGAACAGCTGAATCTTAGATTTATTTTTAAAAAAATCTAGATAAGTGTTATGATGTCAAAAGTTTAAAACAAAATGTGGATCCAGTTATTGTGTAGGTATAAAGAAAACTAAAACATACTTGCACTGAGCATGAAAATACTTGATCAAGTTCTGAAGCAAGTCCACTCCCTTTTTAATCTTGATTTCATTGACTTTCAGCAGGTACTGTTAAAACAGTAATTCGCAAAAGAAATTAATTATTACTGCTACAGTATTTTTTTAACATTTTATTTTCAGTTATATTTCAACAAGCTTTAACAGTTGCAAACTTAGAAGACCTGAAAGAGAATTCATCAGTGGCTTCAAGGGTTAATCAAACAAAAGCAATTGTTGTCACTGCTGATTTTTTATACCCTGTGGGGCTACTTGATTATTATTAGTTCAAATTGTTACCACATCCTTCATGGCTCCTAGTGGAAGCCTGTGTTAAAGGAAGCATAAAAGGGTTTGTTTAGTAAATTTTGGAACCTATTCTTAAACCTAGCAGCCCATCTAGGTATCTATCTCACTAGTTGTTAAATTCATTGCTAAATAGATGCCATTAAGGAAGAAAGCAGTTGAGTCAAAATAAGAGAGAGGGATTATTTTAACCATTTTTAAAATCTCCTTTCTGATTTTATAGTTTTATCTACCAATTCCTTACACGTGGTAATGGTAATTACAGCAAATTACAGTTTAGCAAGAGGTTTTAAAAAAGTACTGTCAAGCTAAAAAAAAAAAGTATAATTAGTGTCCTTTTGCATTAGGCATGATCAAAGTCCATATTAAATGACAGCTCCTCCCCTGAATGCCATAGCATAAAAGATGTCAGCCACACAGGCAGAAGTAAGATTGACCAAATACTTACAGGAGTCCTTAACTGTCCATTAAATGAGGGCAATTTTTAACCACGCTTAGACAGTGACCTCCAAGCAAAAGAGTGATTGTTGTCTTAGCAGTGCTCTAACGCATCTGATTTCCTCCTACCCTCAGTACACCCTAGATGTTTTAAACCCACTAAAATAAAGCAGTATCCAAGTGCCATCTTTCAATGTTGCAGCTTTTTATGCTGGTTCAGGCAACAGATGATTAGCCTAAATGTAGACATGTGCACTGAGTAGTATTTAGTTAGAGGAATCGTTTCTCTAGCCCCTGTTAATTTAAAATGGAGCTCTAGGCATCTGGTATTCAGTTCACTTTCACAATTTATAGAGAACTAGCCTGTACTTATGATACAACTTCAATATGTCACACTTCTGATTTACTAATCAAAACCAAAATAAAGTCTCCTTTTATGACTATTCAGAGGTAACCAAGTATAAACTTCTTTTCCCCAAGATCAGAAGAAATACAGGATACACTTCAGCCAGTCAACTTTTAAGGTAACTTGATTCAATTTCACGGACTTCATCCTGCATTTCATTATCACCACAACTGACTAAATTGAACAACTCCTTTACTGTGACACAGGAAGAGAGAAGCATCTGTTCCTGGTTGTTTCTCAGGAAGGATACAGATGGGCAATTAGCTGGCAACATCCATATGTTTATTGGGTACTCAAATCACTTCATCCATTTTGAATACTTTAGTTTGACTCCATATAGGAATGTGAAGCTTTTCTACTGAGTATCAGCTCATGCAGTTACTAAAAGCGGTATTTGGGACAACTGCTGTGAAGCTATCTTGGCATATGAGTCAAATTTGCTCTAATCATCATAGTAAGACCAGAAGAAACACCCACAGTATATTTTTGAGCTAATGCATACAAAGAACGAACGCAGTAACTTGAATGTCCAACCACAGACTGTGACATGTCCTTAAACGAATCAAAAATATTTACATCAGATTTAACATACTGCAAAATCACAAAGATTCCAAAGTAGAAACATTCTGAAACATCTTGAAAGTCAACTGGGTTCCATCCTTAGCACTTTTTTTCAGCACCAGCCCAACAGTGCGCTAGACTGGAGCCTTTCCTCATAACGCAACAGCTGTCAGCGTAGGAAACAATTCAGAGAATGATTTAGGGCTTAAAATAACTTGCAGTGAAGTAGTAGTGTAAAGGTTTATTTATTATCACCTCTTAGTGTTTAATTGAGCTTTGCATTATTTATTTATTCTACAATTTATTTGCTAAGTGAAATTAGAAAATATCTAAATTCCCTGCAAAGTTAGTGCATCAGAATAGAAAAGTGTTTTAGCAAATGGAGTCCACTAATAACTTGGCATTTCCCTTTAACATCACAGTTGCCATTAGACAATTGTGTTTTTCAAAGTTTTCCTAAAAATATTAGCAGAACAATATGAATTTCACATTGCATCTTACCTCACACATCTGTAACTGGAAGAACCTTCTTTCTTTCTCCATCTCTTCTGCAATTTCAGCTCCACTTATTTCTGTACGGATCATCCCATGCAGCTTAGCATGCTCTTTTTTTTCCTTCTCTATTTTTGTACTATAAGGCAAAGAATCAGTCAATGAAGTGAGAAATCCACAGCCCCCCAGGAAATCTGATTATTCACAAAGTCTACTAACAGATGCAGAGCCAAACTCTTGTAGCTTTGCACATTGCTTACTTCCAGATGACATTTCATGTGAAATTTGACAATGACTAGAGATCAGCAATAACACACAGTAGCTGAAATCTAATCAATCATCTGTTAAAATAATGTCCTGACACATATTCCAAAAGAAGGTACTACGTTCTTGCATTGAAGAAAAAAAAAAATCCAGAAATAAAATTATGAATTTTAATTGCAAACATAGGGGGATGTTTAATCCCAACTGACCAAACATTGGTTAACAGAGTTCAATTATGTCACCAGATTTATTGAGTCTCCCCTGTCATCAAGTCATCTTCTATATATACAGGGTTTCTCAAGCCAAAATCACAGTTGCCATCTCCACTTGCTACTGAGCCAGTTGGCACTGGGAATATCGGCCAGCCGGCTGTGTTGCAGACTTCGAAGTCTGCTAGACCAGCTGTCCTAATTCCCTCAAAGTTTCCATGAACATTTTCCAAGACTTCTGAATAAAACAGGTTCTCCTGCAGAATATAAATGAATAACCAATGCCTGCCACACAGTATAACTCCCCTAAACACGCTTGTGCGTTTGTCACAGCTATTCTCCATGTTACTCCTAAAGGCAGTAGCATAATTGTACTACCCAGTTAGATAAGCCTGATATGAAAAAAAGATATTAATAAAAGAAAATACATGAGGGTGTTTACTTTTTGGAGGAAGACTTTTAGTTTGCCATTTGTACCGTTTTGAAGCTGAAAATTCTGGAATGAGTTTCTGGAGGAAATGCTATACAGCTTTTCAACAAGAGGAAGCATTACACAGGAATACAGGAAGCAGATGAGAAGAACAAATAACATATGCAATATCCTACCTTCTCTTGGGCAGTCAAGTGTCTCTCAGCTCTCTCTCTCAAAAGATGACATGTCTCAAGTGCTCTCTTAACCTGATGTTAACATTACCCTAACAGCTTATGGGAAAATGCCCTAGATGGTCTAAGGACTTCCAGTCAACAATACAGTCTGTACTTGTACTTCTCAAGAATGAGGAACTGCCTCCTCTTACACCTCAAGCAGCAAGGGAAAACTAGAATTAACCCCATTAATCCATCCCACAACATTCCCACAGGGAAATATTTTGAATAGCAATTCAAAAAGACCCACTGCACTCTCGGTACTGGCAGAGGCAGCCCTGTGCCGTATTCCAGCAGCCAGCACATCCAGCCAGCGCTGCGCTCCTTCTCAGCCCATCACGTCCTGCCAGCAGCAGATGTTCAGAAGGAAGCTCCTCTCCTTCGAAATAAATATTCTGAAAACCTTCACTCACCTGAATAAAAACTCAATTTCAGAACGTTCTGTTTTCATCAAAAATAAGTCTGTGCTCTTACCCACTTACTGCCAGTTATGCCATTTTGTAGCCACAGAATATGGAGTCCAAACACAAGAATTAAGCAGACATCAACCGTGAACAAGGAACATAAACCATTACAAAAAGACAGAAAATGACAAATGAAAAATACACAGCTCCTTTCTAGCACACACTCTAGGAGATTTTACATTATATCATACTTGATATACTAGAAAAGTCAAACCTCAGAGCAATGATCCAGGATGGTTTTAGTTCTCTCAATTGCCACATTAATCTAACAATTCATGAGGCCAGAGAATTCACTGAAATGTGAGTCAAGTCTAACAACTATCAATTGCCACTGTATTTTCATTGTTTACAAAGAAAAATACTTGAACATAGGATGATATAACCAACTCTAAAATTTTAAGAGCTTACTAACATGTCATAGGGTGTCTCTAAATGCTAGCTAAACCAAAAGACAACTAATTCTACCAGAGAGTCAAACATTATGCACAAATATTACAGCATATATTGCTTTAAGCAATTGAATTCCTTTTAAAGAAAGAGCTAGATTTCAGTGAAAGAGTCCTATCTACTCTTTAAAGGATAAATGATACTCCACAGGAAAAAAGCAGTTAAACCAAGACTAAAGCATACTGACATCTACCAAGTAATTCAGAGAAATAAGATATGCATGAAGCTGTTTGCAGGAGTTTTGGGCTCCATGGCTTAAAAACTTCAGATGCTTTACAAAAAAAACCAAACTATGTCTCAGTGACAAGTACCAGAGATACGTGATGGTGCATTCCACATTTGCATTTCCTTATTACTTATGCTTTTAGTCTCTAACTACATTTTCAGCGTTGTAGTCCAGAATTTAACCTGTTGTTTTGCTACAGTAATATGCTACCTCCTATCTGAATGATTCTACAGGGTACTTTGTTTCTAGGGAAACAAAGAAATCACATAAAGCAGCATTGCATGCAAATCAGGGTCCTAAAGGTTGGCTGTGTCCCCCATCCAAATGTAAGGGTCAACTCAGCTTCAAGTGTCACCCTGCTGTGACATTAACCAAATCCTTCTGGCAAAGACACTTCTACAATGTACCATTGTAGGATTTCCAAATATTGCAGGGTATTCAGGTTTTCCAGGCAGATCAATTAAGCAAAATTAGTATGAGAATTAGGAAAACTCTGGAAAAATCCTCGGGAAGCAGTAAGAAGGAAGCAAGTGTTTTGTAAAGGTGCTGTTCTTGAAGCTCCTACAGCACATAACACATACATAGACTTTGCTGACTAAGATTAAAATCTGAGCCCACTTCAGTCCATTTACAGCACAGCTGCAGATGACTAATATACACTGAGCTCAGATTTGCGTAACAGACAAGTAAAGCTGAAATACAGGATGAAGAATTACAGCAAAAAAGTCAATCAGATACAAAATAAATGGTCTTGCCCATTCAGTTTCCACTATATGACCACTTTTACAGCTCCAATTTGAAAACAACTGCTTTTCAATATAAATTTTCATTTGTATTTCAAAGAAAACAATTTTGTCATACAGAGCATGGTATAAATAAACATCAAAGTAAGCATTTTTATTTTTTAAAACTTAAAAAAAGGCAGGACCTATATTACCATTTAACATGCCAAAGACTGGTATTTATTCTCAGCCAGTGAACAAGGGTAAACAACTAGAATACCCTGTGTACATGCAGCAGTAGTGAACTGGCTGGCTGGGCAGCAATTCTGTCTTTTTTCCTCTTCTTCGCCATATAGCAGTAAGCCAGGCTGAGTTTCGGTACGTACATGAGAAGGTGCAGAGACTGGGTATAGCACCTGGGAAGGCACAGAGTTGAAGAGGGAGCACTCAGAAAAATGGGAGTGCTTCCAAGGGCTATTTGGTTTGACAAAATAATATTATACATTTTCACTCCAAATATCCTCTCTTTGTCTAGCCTTCCTTTTCAGCCCAACTCTCCAACTTCAGCTCTGGCATCCTAGCCTTTCAGTGAAAAGGCCTCCATCTTATTTTATCCTACTATCTGTCACGGCTGACAGTAAAGCATGAGTCTCTCTCTCTCTCTCATCACCCAAGTCCTGAATGAAGAAGTCATCTTTTCCCTTTGGAAATGCTGGAAAGCTTTTCCCTTTCATTCATCCTCCACTGGAGGGTAGGGGAGAAGGGGGCAAGAATGAGCAAAACATGTCCAGATCTTTCCAGTATTTCATCCATAATATCTCCAGATTCATTCAAAGTTCCTTCCATTTAATTTGCAGGGTATCTCTTTCAAAATAAAAATACTTAATACGAAGTCCCAGGCTCAAAGCAGTACATTAAAGCTACCTTGTTTAGCTACTATATTCAAGATGTGACCTCCACGTTGCCTTATGAACATGCTTTAAAAGGAAATGTGGCAGAAATATCTACAATCTATGACTATCAATGATCTATTGAATCAAGTTAGTGCTCCAAAGAAGCAATTTGAGAAAAGCTTGCAGAATTTTCAGATAATTTTAAAAAATTAGTTTACCAAACTGGAAACATCATCACTTAATCAAATAGTTAATGCAGACATCTTTACAGAAGACTGTAATAAGAATTTGTTCATTCTTCCTTTGACTTCAAATGGTTCAGAAACAAATCATTAATGATAGTTACATCTAGATATGAGTGCTTGCATTTCTGCACTGTAGCGTAATGCACCTCAGCCTACTTCCTTGATCTTATAATCCCATAAGCACATTCAAACAACTTGTTCTCTTCACTCAATTGTGCATAACAGACCTCATGCCCGGTTTTAAAAGGAGAATGGCAAAGGAGGAGAGGGAGCCGGCCTGCCCAGGAAAAGCTTGTTAGTTTTCATTAAGCATTTATGTTTCATAGCTTAGCACAACACTTATTAGCAGAGGACTTCTGAAGATAATATGTATTTACAGGCCTAAAAATAAGACAACTTTATTTGAAAAATTAACATTTCTTTCTTTTCAGGAAAGACAGGTTTATGTCTGGAATACAGACACTACCCTAAAAAATGAGTAGATGATACGCTTCAGTGTGTTTATGCTTCTATTTCCTGTGCAAAATCGAAACAAAGTCTTTACCTCAAAATCTACCACAACAGGACGGACTAAACTGAAGAATGTGGGTGAAATCTGGCTTGCTGCCTTGTTGAATATAGCCTGCCTGCTGGGAGAGTGAACAGTTTTTATAATATGTGTGCTCCTTCCCCATATGCTCCCCCGGTGCGTCTGCCATTAGTGTTTAAGTACATGGGGGAAAGCAACTGCCTCACAGCAAAAAGAACCCAGTCTGCACCAAATCTACCCAAGGGACACAGAAAGACTTAGTCCCACTGTGGTGCTGTAGCGTCTGGCAGCATCACCCAGCTCTTACATGGGAAACAAAGACTGTAGCTGAGGTCCCAAGAAAGAAATGCACTGCTTTTAACTAAAGCTTTAAAAACATTTTACATCAACTGAAGCATGTTAATGACTGATGGTGAGAAAAGATGATTATTCATGAATGTCACCTCAGGATGATCCCAATTTTTGATTGAGGTAGGCTGGCATAAAGCTATGGGC